TTTCCTGCTGGCCTGGTATTTTTTTTGATAAGAATTATAATTTTGATCATTTTTGCAAACTTCAAATTCTAGGGAAAGTAACAGGAGATCATGGACCATTTAAAGTAAATTTCAGAAAATTAAAAATAAAAAAATTGCTTCCTATTTTTGCTGCTGGCATTTTATTTCATAAAAATTATAATTTTGGAAATTTTTGCAAACTTCAAATTTTAGGAAAAGTAACAGGCGATCATGAACCATTTAAAATAAATTTCAGAAAATTAAAAATAAAAATTGCTTCCTATTTTTCGTGCTGGCTTTATTTTTGTATTAGATGAATATTGTAATTTTGGTAATTTGTGCAAATCTAAATTTTAGATTAAATAATAGGCGACCATGCACAATTCAAAATGAATTTTAGAAAAAGAAATATAAAATGTTTTGACAATAATATCTTTACAATGTCCTACTATCAGAGTTTCTTGAAAGTCGATTTATAATATGATATATCTTCTTATTTTTCAAATAAAATACCATGCCAGCAGGAAGAAAATTTTTTCTTTTTGATTTTCTAAAAATTACTTTGAATTGTTCGTGTTTGCCTCTTATTTTTTATACCCTGCAGCTTAGTGAAAGGCATATTCACTTTGGTATGGAATTTGTAACCACTTGAAGCAGTCGTCTACGATGTGCATATGTATATATATTTATTCCTGCTCAGCGTTAAATTCTGCGTTGATTCAGCCACGTCCTTCCGTTCGATTGCGCGATAACTCAAAAACGAAAAATTCAATCGACTCTAAACTTTCACAAGTTGTTTCTTTACAACTCAGAAGTTTTATTTAAATATTTCAAAAAGTAATAAAGATATTAGTATAAAGATTGGCAAAAATATGTCCAATTGCATTTTACATATGTTCTGAAAATTTTAATGGAATGACTGTACTGGTTTGGGTAGCTGCATTAAACTCCAAAAGCTAATTTTATATATTTGTCAAAATAATAAAGATAGATTCATGAAACTTGTCAGTCATGTGACGAATTTCATGTCGAGTGTATCCCTAAAGTTTTGGTATGATGGCTCGACAGGTTTGGGTAGTTGCCATGGAACTCCAAAAACTAATTTAAAATTTTCAAAGAAATAAAGTTACATTCATGAAACGTGGAAGTTGTGTCCAATTATAGATCAGACATATCCGTGAAGTTCTATAGAGTGGTTCGACAGGATCGAGTAGTTGCTATACAATAATGAGAGCTAATTCTAGATATTTCAAAAAGGAGTCATGTAGATAGTTAGGTGCAGGGTATAATTCGGTCGGCTTAGAACTGAAACGTTTTAACTTATCTAAAATTAAATTTCTCAAAAATTACCAGAATTACAACATTTTTCAAATGAAATAGCAGACCAGTAGGTATAATAGGAAGTTAATCTACGGTTTTTATTACGATAATAAAATTAAAGGTAATATTAGAAAACAATTGTTTTATTTTTTTCTTTCTTTTATCAACACTTTATTTATTGTTTTTATTTATTTTAGTTAGATAAAAGCTATAAACTATTTATTATTTTATATTATGTTTATGTTTGTATGTACATTAACTAAAATTCAAGTTTTATAATTGGCAAAAATAATTAATTAAAAATTAGTATAATGATTTAAGTTTCTTGTTGTTTTTTACTTAATTGTTTGGTTATAATTAAAATTGAAATAATACAATAATTAAATTTTATATGGTGAAAAGTTTATTCATTTTACTTATTTATTTTTTTTTGTTCTTTTTTCTTATTTTTTTTGTATAAATTTGTGTACTAACTAATTTTTATTGAAAATATTGTTAGGTATTTTATTTATTTATTTTTATTTTATTGTTTACTTTTAATATTAAGTTTTATTTATTTCGTTTGTTTTCTCTGGCAATTCGCGCGCGCGTGTAGTGCATTTTACAAAATGATTTTTTGGTTACGCTATACAAATATACTATATTAAAAAATATTTAGAAAAGAACAAAATGAATAAAATATATACAGTTTGATTCATTAATAAATGCTTTTATACCATAATACCATTTGCTTTAGGCCACTAAAAGTTAGTAAAATTTTTGTTTGGAATTAAGCTCCAAATCTTAAAAATTTCTTTATGTTCGAAATTGTTGAACATTTGACATTTAATTACAAACAAAAATTTTCTTAATTTTCGATACCTAATTATTAATGATGGTTAACGGTAAAGCATCTGATATGGAATCACATTGTATATATATATATATATATGTATAGTATATATAAAAAGAGTATTTATAAATACTCATATATCAAAATATGATATAATATGTAAATTTAAAGTAAATCTTTTCTGTTCTTAACTACAATTATATAATATTAATTAATTTGACATTGTACTTCATAAACTTAATTAAAATAATTAAACATTTAAATATGTTTTTTCAAACAACTTCAAAAAGAAGCAAAACTGAATTTTACATATAATTTCTGAAAATTTTAGGAACAATCATTGAATCTAACATTAAAAATATACAATCATTTTTCTTTATTTAGAATTATAAATATTATTTGATTGATTCAGGTTTTTTTTTTGAAGATTTTCAAACATGATACAAATTTACCTAATATTTCATTTATATATTTATAGCTTATATATTAAATAACTAAAATACAATATTATATTATATAACTATAGTAATCTCCAGTTGATTGCGTCATGATATATTTATATATATTTATATATATATATATATATATATATATATATATATTTATTTATATTTATATATAATTCTCAATTAGATACATATAATACGACATATATAAATTTTTACATAATTTAAATTATTTATATACTACATATCTATGTTTATGTACATATTATAAGTTCCCGACTCTATAATGATTTCCCGTTAAAATGATTATTTCCCGTTATTAGGATTATTTCACGCTATTATGGTTTGATTGGATATCTTTTTTTTATTTATCAGATATGAAGAAAGTAAATGAAAAAACAATCCCCTCTATTATGTATATCGGTATCGGCCGATAAACGATAATTTATCGGCAAAATTTTGTGTTTGTATTACCAACATTGTTTATCGGTAAATTTTATCGGAGTCGGGAAAGCTTTTTTTCCCTGTATAGGAAACGTATTAGCTGGTATTATGAAAACGATAAATTGTCGGGTTTTCACCGATTTAAAAGCGGGTACAAATTTTTAGACGACAGATTTTTTTTTTGTAAAATCTTCATTTTATCAAGGAAACTGGTGTAATTAATTGCTTTTTTAAAATGTAAGCATTTTTTCTAAATTATTTTCTTTCAAAATGTTATTCATATATTTTATTTAGGAGTAAAATCGTAAGCAACAAAAAACAAATTGCGCGGTTAGTAGAAAAAATGGAAGAGGACTTAAACCTGGCAAGGAATGATAATCTGAAATTCTGGATAAACCTAAAAAATGTGTACATATTATATAAATAATAAAATAAAATAGGTACATAAACATACATTTTGTTGTCTAAATCCAATGGATTAGTTGAATCTCTTATATGTCGTCTTTGAATAGCTTGCGTTTCTTCACTTTCAAAATATAATGCACGTGACATTTTCCCGATATATGTATACTTTTATTTTACAAATTTAACAGAAAATAATTTTCTTACTACAACTTTTTAGCACATCAAAACCAAATTCAAAATAGTTTTAAAAATTTTTTGAAAATAACTTTTGAAAGAAAACAAATGTCATTAGAAAAAAAAACATTTTCTCCAATTTACAAAAACAAAAATTTGTATGAAAAAGCTTCTTTTAATCGGTTGAAATATTTTTATCGGTATCGGTTCATAATACAGAAGAAACCCAAAACCGATGAGAACTGCCGATAATATATCGGCCGATACCGATGTTCATAATAGAGGGGAATATCGTTTCTTTTTTAATTCAAAAATATACAAAATTTAGCCATCAATTTCAGTCACTTTGTTTTTGAAGATAAAACAATTTAAGTGTCGATATTTTACAACGTTTACTGATATTTTAAGAAAAAAAAAACCGGTGACTGAAAAAAACTGATACACATATCAAGCTATTATTTAAATATTATTTACTTAACTCTTAAATAAATAAATTAATATTTAAACTTAATAATATATTTTGTATGTAATTTTAAATATATTCAATTATTTTGTTTATTTTTTCTTTGTTTTTTTTGTTTTATACATAAATGATTTTAACAGTGCCTTTTTTCAACTTATATTTTATATTTGCTTTATTGATTTAATAATGGTATACATATATTGCAATTCAGTAAAGTTTGAAAATAAAATAAATTTCTTGTTTAATATAGTTAAACACAAAACTTCTTCGAATCGCTGTATATTTTTAGGCCGATTGTAAAATTATTCGGGGATTTATATCGTCAGTTAAAACTTATTTTGCGAAATACAATTTAAATCGTTATCTAATGAAAATAAACAAATTCATCATAGAAAAAAAAGGAATTGATTTTATGATAATTACAAATTTTGCTTTCATATAACATCTTTATGATATTAGCGTAAAACTAAATTATCGCACTAGAGCATCTCAAAGTAAAATCCCCCATAAACCCAATATTTCATTCTCCTTATATGTATGAAGAATATTATATATTAACATTATATCTTGATTACATATGTAAAAAAATGTAATTTGATTCAGTTTAAAATATACACAAAAAATATGTATAGTATATAACTACTAATGTAATTGGTTTAAAAATATGTTTTTAATAAGTTAAAACTATTAAGTTACTGTTAAGTTAAAAATTTTTTGTTCATCATAATAATTAAATAATAACAAAATTTTAATATTTACTTTTAAAAAGATGCATTACGCAAATCATGATTGTGACCTTATAAAAATAAAAAAAATTAACAAATTTCCTAATCTAAAACAAAATATATTCTTTTTTTAATAATAACGCCGTTTGCAATAGGCAGACGAGGAGGTTTGTAAATTTTTATTATTTTAAAAATATATTATATGAAAAAAATATAAATAAATTATTTGAAGTACAAAAAAAAACGTACATAAAAATTTCATTCGTGTCTGTAATACAGTCGAATCCGTAAATAAACAAAATTCTTTTAGTACCAACAATAAAATGGTATCATTCAATTCCTTTTTCTTTTAAACCCTGACACAAGCAAAGGAAAATACCCGTATTAATAACTTTTTATGCTTATCAGGTTCGACTGTAAATATTATTTCAATAACATTGTAGAAGTAAAACATTTCATTTAATATTTTTTTTATATTTATACAGGGAAAAATTTGGATTTTGAGATGCTTTGCGTCCCTAATTCCATTTATAACAAGTAAAGTTTTGTATTTACAATTTTCATAAAAAATTACATAATGATTTGAAAAACAAAAATTTTTCTTGAATTTATATATAATTTAGTTGTTTTTTAAATTAAAATCATATAATCTCATATCTGTTTTATAATAAACGAATTTAACTTGAAACGTAAATTTTGTTATTTTTATTTTGTTTTTACTCATAATAAAATATATATTTTTGTTTGAAATAAAAGAATATATTTAAAAAGTTATTTCCAGAAATCAACCGATTTTAGAGCACTTTTTTTTTGGACTTTTTTCCATGATAAGCCAAAAACAAATATAAATATATCAAAAATTAAAAAAAAAAATTTTCGAAAGGTGAGACAGAAAAAATATTCTCATAATAGTAATCATTTTGTATAAATAAACCATGATCATGTTATATACATATATAAATTAAAATATTCCTATATAATATAACCATTAAAATGTAAAAAAAATCATAATATATATATACATATATGTATATATATATATATATATATATATATATATATATATGTATATATATATATACAATATATATATACATATATATATACATATATTTTTAACTGTAGCCTGAGGAACTATAAACAGCAACAGAATTATCAACAAATCCTCCAGCCAAATCAACTTTATATGGATGAAATGATAAACAAGATGTATGACCAATTCTTGGACCCATAAAACTTTCACTTACACGTAAAGTAGTTTGTTGTCGGCCATCTAAACCATAAATGGTTATACTTTGGGAACCGCTATATAAATGCAATATTTTTAATAAAAAATGTTTTTAATAAAAAAGGTATATGTAAAAAAAATTATATATTAATAAATATAACCAAATAAATAATTATTTAGAATATAATATGGGGAAAAGTTTTAGAAAATATAAAATATAAAATAAAAGAAAAAATTTAAAAATACCAAGCTAATATATCTGCTTCAGTATGGACTGAAATAGCGCTTATATCGTTTCCTGCTTTCCAATTTTGTACAGATTGTTTCATACGAATATCAAATAACCTAATTTTACCTTGTGTACTATAAAAGAGACAATAAAAAATATATAAGAATTTTTTAATTCAATTTTATGTTTTTGTTTGTTTACCATCCAGTTACTAAACTTTCACAATTATCACGTAAACATGCAGTTAATATAGAGCATGTATCTTCTCTATATGTCATAATACGATTTTCATTTGATGAACAACGTTTATCAAACAAACGTACACTACCATCACTACAACCCGCTGCAACAATTTCATTTGGTGAAGATGACAATGTTCTAACATATGCATGTGTACCAGTTGGTATATCACAAATTTTCAGTTCTGTTTTAACATCCCATAAACGTAAAAAATTTGTATAACCACCAAAAAATAAATGCTGGGATTTTTGATGCCACGTTGATGTAACACCGCCCATCTCTTCATTTTATATAAAAAAAATAACATAGTGCAATTAATGAAACTGAGGAAAAGAACCTCTGATATAAGGTAGAGGGGAAGCAATTAGAAATATTAGTGGAGCATCTGATCCGAAGTAGTCAGGAGTTACAGAATTACAAAATACGAGTCCCGAGCTAACGAGGGTGGGTTAACGCAGCAGTGTAACATTCCTGTGGGTCGCGGGCCACCATAATATAGAGGGACATGAACGGGCCGATGAGCTAACTAGATGTGGCTCAGCTATGGACATTTCCGGGCCTGAATGAATTTTTGCTTCCATTTATATACACAATGTTAATCGTGCGCCAAACGCAGCTGAAAAACCGTGCCGAAATGCGGAACGGTAAGAGATATGGTCAAAGTACGACGTGAGGAAATTGGATAGGTTCCTTACGATGAGTTGTAGATATTGCTTGCCTGACGGTAGGCAGACGGAAGATTAGTCGTAGGGGGAGTGTGCGTCTAGCCTGGGATTACCCTTCAACATAACTTATCATAGCTGCCGCAAAATGGACGAGAAGGAGACCATTTTCCACTATCTCTGCGAGTGTGTGTCACATGCGGCAGAGCAAGTTTGACGGGGCTGAATGAAATATCCAAGATTGGAGCCGGGGATTAAGATTAATTCCTCAAAAAAACTGGGTGGCTTAGGTAAGCCAGCTGTAATCGTACACTCAATGACGGTGTGGTGGTCACAAGGTATTGATAGAAAAATGGCACGTTTGTGCAAATTGGGGGCGATGAACCTGCTGCACCGACCACGTCAATCAACTAACTATAATTAATTAAACGAAAAAAAAATTACCTTTAGTACGATGTGAAAACGGAAGACATTGCCATGCTGTTATTAATTTACTATTGGATTGCTGTTGTTGATTATTAACTGTTAAACATTGTTCTTGTACTAATTGTTCTTGCCATATTCTAACTGTACCATCTTCATAACCAACTAATATCAAAGGAATATCATGTGAATTTAAAAATTCAATAGTTGATACACGTGGACCTGTAAAATTATTACTAACAATATCTCCAGATTCATTTACAATTGCACCTAATAATGAGCCAGTAATATAGACAAGTGGTGATACACCAGTTGATGTAACACTTCCACTTGTTGAGCTCATAGAATATGATTTATGATGATGTCTAGAGTTCGTTGTTGTTATAGAATTAGCAGCCATACCACCACTTATTGATATACTATTACTATTATTACTTCCACTTAATAATATATTATTCAAATTAAATTGATTTGGTTTTTCTGGTGGTATATAAGATATTGATGTCGATTTATTCCAATCATAAACTTTAACTGTATTTTTGTATGCTACAGCAATCTTATCTTCATATGGCAATAATTTAACAATAGTTGGTGTAAATTGCGTTTTACCAGAATATATTGGCATATCAATTTTATGAAATATAGCACGCTTTTGTTGTTCTAACGCTAAACGACGTATTTCTTTATTCCGACTAAATCTTGATTTTTGGGCTAAATATTGCGGTGAATATAAATCAATTGGGTATTGTTGCATTTGTTGATGATTTTGCAATGAATTCATTATAATTGAATTACTTCTTTGTTGTTTGGATATTACTGTTGGAGACTGTAACGATATATCTTTATTTGATTCGATACTATTGTTACTGCTTGTACTACTGCTACCACTGCCATTACCACTACCGCAACTACCATTACTTTCATTTTGTGAATAATTCATCCGTATTAATTCATTACAATAGTTATCGCATGATCTAGCAAATTGACTGATTGACCATGATATAAAATTTGTTGTTACTATTGATTTCATTATACTTGATTGTTGTCCAACAGTTCCCGATGCACCACAACTTTTTCTTTGCTGTTGTGTTAAATTATTTGTAATAACAAAATTATTTGATGCTGCTCTAGATTGCTGTTGTGCATTTTGAACTGATGATTGATTAATGTTATTAGAGCCACTTTGATTTGTTGTTGTATCACGTTCATCACACATTGATGATGTCCTCTTTTTATTATTTATAGGCGATGACGTTACTACCCTATTTGAAAAATGTGGAATACCACCACTTGTACCATGTTGTGTTGTCAATAATTTTTTATCACCTCCACTTCCACATATTATAACACCCGTCGTAGAATTACTCATAACATTTATTTGTGGACTTTGTTGAGCATTTGGTGGTGATTCACCTTGATTCAATTAACGATAAAAGTTTACAAACATTAAATATAGTAGCTTTTTGAACATACATTATTTTATCATTATTGGCTTACCTAAATAACTTGTTCTGGTATTAGGACTCGGTGGCAAACTTAAACTACTGGCTGATTGAACCGATGATGGACTAATATATTTTTCGGTTGTTGCTTCTTTAGCAGCAATTAAATAAACGGCGGAGTTTCTGATGTATTCAATTAATTTTTGTGCTGTTTCAGCAACTTTTGGAAAGGGATCACGTGCTAGTAAAAATATGCCATGTAATAATTTTAAATATATTCTACCAATACCGATTGTTGGATTTATATTGTTAATATTGACAGATAAATTTGGTATAGAACTAGAACTGAAACCTCGTTTCATATTATTTCTGTCTAAAGAATTGTGTAATGTAAAATAATTTAATAAATCATAGTTATTGGTTCCGTTTCCACCACCACAGCCTGTATTAAAATTATTTAAGGCAACTGGTAAGACCTGGTTCGTTGATATTGCATTTGTGGCATTTGTCCTAGTATTATTTGTTAGACCACCATTATTACTCGCATGATTTAAATTAAGATTATTATAATGTGAAAAATAGTAACTATTTATTGAATATGTTTCACTTATTGTTGATGATTCTTGTAAATAAACAGCAACGAACTGTGATTCAAATAATATTACCATCCATTGTAATGCTGCAATTAATTCTAATCTAACTAATGGTGACATATCATCCATAACAGTTGTGAGTAACATCAATGCAATATTGCGATCAATATTATTCGCATGTTCAGATCTTTCTGTTACTGAGCTGATGTATGTACCTAATGCAAATACAGCAGAAGCTCTCACTTCAGGCACATTATCCTTTAATAATGGATATAATTTTTCATGCGCCATATCGCGCACGCCAGACCATCTTGCTTTTGCAAAATTTTGCCACAACTGTCCTAAACATATTATTAACCATTGCCTTAATAAATTATTTTCAGTGTATAATTGTTCTAAACAAATTGATACTAATGAACCTTGTAATGCGCTAGTTTGACCTAATAAAAAATTATTAACAATACTAGCTAGTACAAATGCAGCTAATGTACGTTGCTTTTTAGAGCTTTTATAATCTTGTAATACATTTAAAAAATATTTATAATCTTTCACTAAATCAATTTGACATGTACTATCCACAGCTAAAATTTTTGCCCATATAAATACTAATATAGGTCTCAATTCTTTCGCTGAACTTTGTAATAATTTTAATACATACGGGAATATTCCAACACCTAACGCTAAATTAACAGCCCATGGTCCCAAGTTTAGAAAACGTCCCAATAATTCTAAGGCACGCATGCGATGCACTTGCGACAATAAAACTTGTAATACAATTGGTAATTGTTCTGGTGGTGAACGTTCCTTATTTCCTTGTTCTAACCATACTTGAAATGCTGTTAATTGTTCTTCAAAGAATGGTAGTTGTTGATATGGTGCATTTTTCTCTAATATATTTGGTAATTGTTGTAATGCCAAATCAACAGCTAAATCCCATGCTGACCACATTTGATTTCGATAACATAATGGCAATTTTGGACTAGATTGTGGTGTACAATCATATGAACGTAATATTCTTTCAGCTAATAAAAAATTTCGAAATAATGATGCAACTAATAAATCTTGTCTAAAAAGTTTTTGAAATAAATCTTTTTCTAACATATTCCACGCAATTGTATCAGTTATTGCAGTAAATATCCAATTTAATTCACCAAGCATTGTACGGCGATCATTTAATTGCCCTGGTATTCTATCTATTAAATCCATATTTATTTGATTTGCCAAACCTAGTGGATTATGCATTGTATGCCATTTTAATGCAGTTTTAATGGGTGTAGTTAAACATGATGTAAATAAGTCAGCTGGTAATTGAGCATTCATTGGTAATATTTGATTAGCAGCACATGCTGCTAGTTGTATACAATTTTTATATGTAACATTTTGTGAATTTGATGGGCTTTGTCTATTACCACCAGTTGCTTTTTCCATTTCTCTTTCATGTTGTTCAGCAAACTGATTAAATAAATTAATAATCATACCAGCATTTGAACAATCATATACATATATTGATGGTGCACCCATCCACGCTTGTAAATCATATATTGATAATGGTATATATTGTGTATAGGTTTTATTAAAAACCCATATTTCACCATTTGCTGTTGGCTTAGGAACTCCATGACCGTTATAATGAAATAATACTCTCTCTTCTTTTGCGTTACGTCTTAATGACGTACATAATTTTTTTACGTCGTCAACAGTTGGATCACTTACTTTTTTATAACGTGCTCTTGGTTGCCAACGTTCATATTGCTTTTGTAAATTAGCACCTATTAATTCCATTGCTTTTGGTGGTGACACTGATGAAGGATCTATCCAACATTCCAATCTTGCACAAGGTTGTATTTTAACAATATCTGGTGGATCAACGCCAATATTTAAACAAAGTACTAAAGCTACACTAACAGTTTTCATTCTTTCACGTATACGCCATGATTGTGCCTCGCAATCTATACCTTTAATTGGTTGTTGATGTCTTATTTCTTGAAAACATAATGGTAAATCATCATCTTTCATAAATCTAATATTGCTTCTGTTATTTTGATTACTATTTTTATTATTATTATTATTATTATTTTTATTATTAATATTATTATTTGTATTAATATTATTACTGTTATTTATATTATTATTATGACAAACATAATTTGCTACCGTTCCATGTAAATTTATTAATCCATGTGTTAATGGTGCTGTTATTGTTGCTGTCGTTGTTCCTCCTGCTGATACTGATGATAATGTTGCTGCTATTGTTGTTACTACGGAATCATTATTACCTATACAAATTTCAGTAATATTTTCATTCGTCAGTACATGATCATCTTCATCATCACCATCATTATTTAGAATCCCATATTGTTTTTGTTGACTCATATTTACAATTTTCTTTTTTTTTTTTTTTTTGTTTTTAATAAAGATTTTTTTTAGATTCTACTATATCTCCATCGTTAATTTCATTCATTTACTACAAACTTAAAATGTTAAATTTTCTATTTTTGTAATCTAAAAAAAAAAGAAATAAAAAGAAAAAATATTTACTAAACTAGTATAAGAGTTTTTTCATATCAAAATTTTTAATGTTGCTTTCAGTAGAAGCTAAATTAATAACTGTAGGAAATTGTTTTGAAAGTAATATTTTATTTAATACAATGCTATGCAACTAAATCTTTCATTTTGACAAAAATACATACATAATATGGCAGGTTAGGCAATGATGTATGTTACATATGTATTATATATACGCACTATAAAACGTACACATCTGAAGGATTTTCAATAAATCAAATTTATTTCCATTTAAAAAATCAAGAAATTGATAATATTTATTACTTAATAGGCTTTATATGTAATATATGTAAAAGTAGTTTAAATATTTCATAAAAATAGGTATGTAGAATTATATAACGTTTAATAAATCTGATATGTACTTAGGTATGCAGGTACCTCCTATATTAATATAAAACCTTCCATTGCTACCGAACTGCTTTTCCGTATTAATAGTACAATTAATGACATATATATCTATTAAGCAACCAAGCTGAAGTTATTATCCGAAATATTGCGAACTAAGCACGTTACAAAAACAATTCTAAATGTTTTATATTTTTGAAGAATTTCGAGTATTTTCTGTGATTTTACATAGGGTTTTTAAAAGCGATTTTGAATTTCTTTTTAAATCTAATTTCTTATACGAATATTTTTCCCTTTAATTCATTTCATTACCTTCCATTTGGAAGACAGGAAAGGATGGCTGTGTTAAAAATTGCAATTTTTTTTTTTTAAATGCATTTTTCGAGTGAATTTACCAACTGTTTGTTTTTAAATTTAAATTTTAAATCAATTTTCTTTCACACAAATGATTTGCGATCCATTCCATAAAAAGTCCATATAAATTTGGAATTAGTTTTTGATTTACTCTTTGAGCTTGGTGACCTGATAGATATAAATGTCACTAGATACAACAATAAAATGAAGTTTTATTATTTTCCACTACCAATGATGTTCATATGGAAATAGTAAATTCATATATGAGTGCATGTATTTTAGGTACAAGTATCCGTAAACCTAACCTAAAAAAAAAATAATAATAATAAAAAGAAACAAAACAAAAAAAATTGATATAATACTTGAACTTTAATACCAGTAATGGCGCAGTAAAAAAAGCATTTTTTTAATAGTTAAATATTGCATATATACCTATAAATATATAAAAATAATCTTTTAAAAATATTATATATGAATATATGAAATGTATGTAGCTATATCTAAATATATGAAATGTATGTGATACATTATCTAAATGCTATCAATATTATTATTTATATTGCTTATATTATATGTATGTAGTTATACATATAATATGTATATAATTTAATGCACTCATATATAAGGTAATAAATATATTAAAGGTACTTTATCTTTTTAATTGTAAATTCACCCATAATATTTATATATGTATATAAATATATGTAGGCATGTAAATAGATATTTAAAATATCATTTTATACTGTTGTAATATTTTAAGTAAACCCAGTAATTCAGGATTTTTGAATATAATAAAAATATTATTGTGTGATGATAACAAAATAGAAAAAAAATAACTCAAAATAATTTTGATTATTATTTGACATATCCACATACATAAACACACGTTTCTAACTTATCAACCACCACAGCTACCCCTCCAAAAAATTTCATATATTAATATAGATATAAATATGTATATACTTTTGAATTTTGTTTATAAAGTTGGTAAAAAAACAATAAGGTATGTAGGTAGGTAGCAACACACATAACCCCAAAATATAATATTATTTCGAGTTTTAGTCATTTCTATTTGTTGTTGTTCTGTTGAAATATTTCAAATCATTTTTTTTTTAATTTCTTCTTTTTTTTTTGGATTTTTTTGCTGTATTGACAGACCGCCACCTTACTAAATAATAAGTATGTACTACATATACTACAAATGTTTTGTTGTGACTAAAATTTTTTTGAGTTTTGGTATTTTTTATTTCAATTTTTTTTTTCAATTCGCCTGTAATGAAAAAATAAGAAATAAATGATTTTTGATTTTGAAATACATCAAAAACAATAAATTTTGTTTTTTATTACAAAATTAATATGAATCACAAGTTTTACGTACATATTATGTACATATGTATCGTATAGGTATAAAAATTGATACCCAAATTACCTTCCTGCCTCTCGGAAACTCAAATTATAAAAAAAGGAAAAAAAAAAAAACAATAGAGCAAAATGAGATTATTTTAGAATTAGAAATTTCAAAGAAATTACAAAAACTTTACTTTTAAATTAATTTTTTTCTACCATTTTTACTTACCTTCTCTCTTTTATTTTGGTTGTGATTTTCCTCTACTTCAAATTAACAAAAAAAAAATATATCCACTTTTATATTTTAATTTTTTTTTGGTAGCCTTCTTCTTGATTTTTTTGCTCTTAATTCTAAATTGTACCTACAAGTTAAAAAAAAATCATAGATTTTTACATTTTTTCACAAAAAAATTTTTTTTTTTTATTTTAATTAAAATTTTTTTTCCACTTAATAATTTAAAGAAATATTTTTAATAAAAAAATCTTTTTACTTATTTTCTAATCATTTTTGTTCTTATTCTTATTTTTTTTATTTTCAAAAATATTTTAAAGCGAAATTGTTAACACCACATGGTTACTCTCATACATTTATTTTGAAAAAAAAAAAAAAAAAAAAAAAAAAAAAAAATTAGAAAAAAAATATAAAAATCTGCGACATAAGCACTTATTATTCGTTTGAGAATAACAAAACAAAAAAAAAAAACAATAAATAATCAAAGCGTTAAAAATAATCAGAGAAGAGAGAAAGGAGAACATTTGTCAGAAAGAACAAGAAAAAAACAAGAAAAATAAATTTGTTTTTTTTATTTTAGATAATTTATGCTACACCAACAAAACTTGCATTAATATAGTACATACCATATTTATTGGTCTTTTTTCTTTCTGTTATTACAAACAAAACTGTTATTGTCAAATTGAAATTGTACGAGGAGCAGTAGAGTTAAGAAAAGATTTAAAAAAATACGAGGATTTTCATTATATAAAGCAAAATTTTATAAATGCATATCACGTGTGATCGATAATGTCTAAATGTCAGAGCAATCTACATAATTTTATAGGGTTTTTTCTTGTTTTACAACTGTTCTATTGCTTATTTGCATTCAATAGGTTTATATTCAAGCGCGGACAAATGCAACTGTATGATCGCATATATTTAAGCAATTTAATTTATATTTAATGCAATCGATTTGAATGAACACAATAGTATAGTTTATCAACCTGTAATTGAAAAGCTAAAAATTAAAATATTTATATATGTTGCAATGTTATATACAAATTAAAGATAATATAACAATAATAGAGAAAATAATATAATAATAAAGATATATAAAGCACTAAAATATACCATTATATTAACCATGATTATGTGAATAAATCAAGCTTACAATCCATGGTATTTCATGTTGAAAAACAACCTGTATATCAAGTAATATATTTCTTTTCATTTAATAACGGGATACTTCAAAATTTCTTTGTCTTTCCATTATTTTAATTTCATTCGTAATGAATACTGAAAATAATTAATAATTAATATTTTTATTTTATAATCATATTAAATTCCCTTTAAGAATTTTTTGATCAAATACATAACTCATTAAAAATTTTACAGAACAAGACCACTTTCCGTGGCGAAATGTTAAAGTTCATATAGAGTAAACACATAAATAGAACTGACCGGAATCATATGAAATTTCTGCCACGAATTTAACCAACAACGGAAAAATTTTTTTAACATTAAGTGGATTTTTTTTAACATTATCTGCTTCCTTGTAAGTGTTACATTATATACAAAATACTGAATACTTGATGCTGCCATTCTGCAAAATCAACTTTTCAGTATTCTGCATGTAATTGAGAGAAAAGGAAAGCAAAAATAATTTCATTTATGTGTTTACACTTTATAAGACGCAATTTTTATAACACGTTAGTGCAAACCCCTCGTTCGTTCATGTAACGTCAAAAATTTGATATACATAATATATAGCCATATTTGATTTTGACATTTTGATTTTTTACAGTTTTAGAGAGTACTTTTTTTTCTTCCTAAAAAAAGAGGGATAATGTGTATCTCTATATTGACAAAATAAAAGTTTTATTATTTCTTTCGCACGTCCGTTTTGATTGAAGAATTTCAATTTAAATTATTATTATTAAAAAAAATTTTTGAAATAAAAACAGAAGGTATATGCAATATTTTTAATACTTATTAAATTTAAAAAGTTAAAATTTAAAAGAAATTTTCGATATAAAGATTTTTTTCTTGTAAGACATAATATGTAAATGTGTGTATTTAATGCTTAAATAGAAAAAAAAATAAAAAAAAAAAACAAAATGATCATCACCATTCTCAACAAGTAGTGTAATATTAGGCAGCTAGCTATGTACACATGTATATACAGAAAAACAAGATAATAAATGTTTGTATCTAAAAAATCAAAAAAAGCATTCCTGGAAGGCAAATAAGGCCAAGTCACAAAATTATAATTTTCTGATTTTTACATTTTTTATATGTGCATGAAAACATATTTTTTCCGTCTGGAAAAATATGAAACTAGGACATTTTTCTAAAATGTCCTAGTTCTTAAATGTAATAGAAATACTAAAACAGTAACTGTGATAAAAGTGTTCACACAAAGAATATTTAAATTTAAAATTGAATTTAATTATGTTAATTTATTCGGTTCGATTTTCAGTAACCGCAAACTATTACATATATGTTTTCACTTGATAATTTTTTCTTTTCAAGATACCTAGGTGAACAACAATTTTGTATTGAATATACATGTTACTTTAAGAGTAAGAAAAAATAGTTGATTCTTTTTTAATATCTTAAATTCCACATCGATTGATTCATATTTTAGTTGTACTTTGTTAATTAAAGTGATATCTTAAATACATAAAAGAACTGATTAGATATATGTATATATGTAGTATATTTTATATATAACCTAAATATTACAGGACCGTGTATTTTTTATATAAAAATTTATGTACATACTCATACATATATATGTAGTTAAATATGATGCAGATAAGTTTTATTTTCAATAATAAAAATGAATCAAAACAATTTACTGTGGAAAACGTAATTTTGTGTTTAGCTACCTAAATTATTAGTTAAGTTTCGTATCTAAGAAGATTGATCTAAGCTGAAATCAACATTTTATCAAATCAATGTTATCAAAGTTTTACCTTGCATATAGAGAATTTGTTAATATAAATTATTATGTATGACACTCTAAGTGATTCTTAAGAAGGAATTTTTGATTTTATTCATTTGATATGTAAAGTATAAAAAGTATAGACAGATGCCCACATAAGTAAGTTCATTTTAATTGTAGATGCCTACCAACCTTTGTACCTAAATATATATGTATCTCTGTACAATTTTTGCATATTAAAATAATTCTTTAAATAACATTTTAACATTAAATTAAAATTAAATCAATTATATTAATTTTTCTGTTTACAATTATTGAACTTGAGGTCAATCTAGTATAGCATCATCATTCGATTTTAGTTTTAAAATTAATATCGCCTTTTGAAATACGAAGTAAAAGAAATTTCATAAAATTTATACATACTTTTAATTTAGGTTTTTCAATTCCATAATATTAATATTACATTTAATAATTAATATAATTATGATTGTTATTGGTAAAGCAACCAGAAATTTTCAATATTCCTAATAGATACGCACACATTAATACTAGTAACACACTAAATAATAATCATAGATTGAATAGGATCCTATAAGATATTACAGTAAACAGAATATAAGGTATATCACGTAGCCACTACCATATATAATGAAATTTGAATAAATTTTTTTAATTAAATTTCTTTATTACTTTATCATTTCAGTTTTTTCCAAATTAAATCGTTGATTCGCTTTTGGTATTATTTGTTTCGAACGAAAATCAAAATGCAGTATTCGTTAGCAGCATTTTATGAGCCGAGAGGTGTTATGAGAATATTACAATTTGTAATATATACAATATAATTTTTTTTTTTGTATTTTAATTAAACTCTTTAATAACCTAATTTATTTATTATTTTTATTTTGTATTTTTAAGATTTTTGCTATAGTTGCATTCGCTACAACAGCAAATTATACAAATAACGTACACTCAATATGCATTGATGGCCAAACACGTACCATAGAATATCCATACAGTTTTGAATTTCAAATATGTAATAGTACAACAATATCAGCTGATTTATCATCAGATGCACAGTTTTTTGTAGCGACAGGTGTCCTATCGATGATGTATTGTATTTTTATAATTGCGGTATATGCAATTATAGATGAATTATATCGTACAAAAAGTGAATTCCCATTAGCGGTAAATTTTTCATAAATAAACTTAAATACCAATTAAGGTTATTTTGAGCCCTTTCAATTGGCTGGTGAACGTATCAGTTAGAGTTTAAATACGCCTTATACAAAATAAATAATTATTATTATTCTTATTATACAATATTTATTTTTTACATTATTAATGTTATTGTAGGATTTCTTTTTAACAACAATTTTGGCAATATTTTGGTTGGCTGGATCATCTGCTTGGTCAAATGGTACAACAGCACTTAAAACTGTGACAAATCCAGATAAATTATCACAGCAATGCAAAAATTGTACATATACAGTTGAAAGTTTTTCTAAACTGAATATATCACTGGTAAGAATATTTTACATTTTTTTTTCGTTGATATTTATTTTTAAGATAAAATTTATCAAAAGAAATATATGTTGTATATAATTGAAAAATAATAATAAAAAAAACTAAACAATCATAATATTTCCGCACATTCGTAATTCAAATACAAAAAAAAATTTAAATACAAAACTCAAAAATTTATTTTTAAATGTTCAAATTTTCGAAATTTTTTTCCCGGCTTTCAATTTTAATTTTTCAGGTCCGTTTTGTTTTTTTAGTTTTCTTATTAAAATTTAATTTAATCTAAATTTAATTTTCATTCAATCTCGAGCTTTAATTTTAAATAATTTTCTTCTATATTTACTGGACTTATCTATAAAATACTTTTTTCATTTTCTAGTTCTTAGCAATAAATGCGATGTCAATGTAAGTGTTGATTTTGTAAAATTCTTAGTTCATTTATTTTTCTTTGTTTTTTTTTTTTGTGTCGGAGCAAAATTTTGTATTTTTTTTGTTCAAAATGTAGATTTGTTTTATAAATAAAATATTTCATTACATAATTTTTTAATAAATTTTCACAATTCATTGAAATTTTTTGCATAAAAAAGCACCGGACACCCTAATATTTTTTTTTATATATATAAAAAAGAGGATTTGGACAATGGGGAAAAATATTGGAATTAAAAAAAATTCACAGATATTTATACTGGGATTTAATAATTATATAAATTAAAAAATATCATGTCCAGACCTTGAATTTTGTAATGCCCTCAATATCAACACTTAGCACTTCTGTTTTAATTTAAAATTTAATCTTTTATTTTAAAGTTTTAAACAATAAGAATTACTTTATTTTCTTTACTATGTATTTAGAGTTCCACATTTGTCGGTAGGTAATACGATTTTTAAATTTGACGGTTCAGATTAATCGCAAATTGCAGCAAATTGAATTGCAGATTCAAAATTATATTTTATAGTGGCACAATTCAATCACAACTTATAAACTCTTGAATTATGTTATGAAATGCATTATTAATACTATTTTGAATTTGGAATTATTGTATTTTTAAAATCGTGTAATACTGCAATAATGGGACCAAATCTTTTATTTTTTGTTTTTTTTTTTCTGTATGAAATTGATTACCAACTAAAATACTTATATTCATTCTTTCTATTTTAAAATATTTACTGTAAAATACACTTAAAATTTAAAACAAAAAATAAGTAACTAAAAACTCATAATTTTAAAAATTAATTAATTCAATTTTTTTGTTATATTTTTGTGTTAAATTTAGTTAATTGGATTTTTGAATTTCTTCTTATGGGCATCTGGTTTATGGTTTTTGTATAAAGAAACCATATGGTTCCAAGGAAGGCAGGCGAAACAACAAAATGTTGGAGCTGGTACTTCAACAATGGGTCAACAAAATGTTTAAATGTATATGTAATAGATGAATGTAAAAAATGTAAAATTTAAACTAAAATCAGAAGAGTATAAATTTTCTTACAAAAAAAAAAAACATAAATAAAAACCACCTACAAATAAGTAAAGTTTTACAAAGAAGATAAAAAAAAAGGATCTTGCAGAAGTAGAAATTTTTTTATTTTTTGAATTGAAAATAGTCATTTTTTGAAGTTTTTTCTTTTATTTGTAACTTGTATTATTCTTAAATATTTAATTTTTTTTGTATATTATTCTTAATTATTTAATCTTTTTTGTTGTATTTTGAAATAAAGTAAAGAATTAAGTATAATTATTATAAAAAATATTTACAATGCCTTCTAAATTGCAGTAGTAATAACCTGTGTGTAATGCTAAAAAAAGCTCAGTAATTACAAGCTTATAAACAAAATTTTTTTACTAATATTATAAATAAACGGAAGTTTTGAAGTCAGCGTTATAATATGCAAAACTGGATGATTCATGCAACATATTCAGGAAAAACAAAATCATTTTATATTATTTTAAAATCATTAGTACAACATTTATAAGATATGATAGAAATAAATTCAGAAATACGTCGTTGTTACACTTTTCTATGTGCTGAATAGTGGGCACATAATATAAAGTACATCATTGTATTTCTGAAAATTTTTATATGAAACAAAAAAAATAATTGTTTAGTTTTGTTTATAAATAATTCACAGATTTCAGTTTTAAAGTGTTAAGGAAATATTTATATTCATTTTTCTAACTTCAAAATTGCATTGATACACTATCAACATTACAATTCAGCGCAAATGTAATCATAGTCTGAATTCTGTGTTAGTACCGTCATTATTATTCGCAAGTTTGAAATCTGAGATTTTTTTACATATGCATGCTATATATTACGTACAACAATCAATGCGCACAACTGGAATTTTTAATTTACAAGGCAATCACTCACAAATTGGAACTTTTTTTTTGTCTGTGACTGCCAGAATGTAATATATATATAAAATGCAAATATAATTTGAATAATTGGGGCTTTTGCATAATTTATATATTATGTATTATATAGTACATATATAGTAATTGAGGTTTTTTAAAACAATAGTAAACTGGAGACTAATTAAAATTTGAATTTAGAATATTTCTAGTAACATTTGTTTTATAATTATCATTATTTTGTTTTCTTTTGTATCAAATGAAAAAAAAAAGAATTCATGTTTTTTTTGTTATTAACCTATTTAAAAGAAACAAATATGTGTTTTCATTAAATTTACATAAAGTTCTGTGCGAGCGTGTTCAATGCAGTAATGCAAACAAAGTTTGAATTCGCGTTTGCAATTCTGACTGCAAGAGATCTTATTAGTTAAAACAGCACTTCAGGTGAACTACTGCAGCAACGCTGCCTCTGGGTCTTCTATGTAATTCGATTTTCATGAAGCAATTTTCGTATTTGCAGAAATGGCGTCTAAACTTTTGATTTATATTCTCGATTAATTGAGATTATGAATATAAAAGTAGAAAAAAATTTTATACTGTCGATTTGATAGCAGACCTGTTGCAGTTCTACCATTAAAAACACAATGTTTTTTGCAGCAAATTACAAAAACGTGGTGCCATTGCAGATCTTTGTTTTGCAAATGCGAATTCAAGAAATTGCAGAAAGAAAATAAGCAAAAAATATTTCAAATATATTAAAAAATTAAAAATAAAAAAAAAATAAAAATTTAGATATTAGAAAATAACTTTTTTCTTTTTGTTAAATTTAAAATATAAATTGAATAACCCTAAGTTCAAAATTACAGTTAGAGTGTAAATTAATGCACAATATTAATATTTCAGTGTTCGAATTTAAGTTGCAGAGTTGTGCAGCAATACCGTATTACTGCAATTTTGAATTTACGGTTATTAATGACAAAAAATGCAATATATGTATTTTATTTTGTTAAACTTAACAGGGTAATAGTAATCGGCTCTTGTTTGCCATTTTCACTTCAAATACCTTTTTATAAATATTAAAAATATGACAATACCTACTTAAACAAAAATTATAAACTTCTTATATTTTTTCTTCAAAAAATATACATATATATATTTGTTTTGTTAAAATGTACATATTTTATTATATTCTTTAATATTTAAAGCACATTAATATTATAAAATTATTAGTTTAAAATCTTAGTACATTTTTATATTAATAAATCTCTGATTAAATTTTGTTATATTAAATACGTTATTCCTGAAATATTAAATAATAACTTCTTTAAAAGAAAAAGAAAAAAAAATCATTCAATTCATTTCATGTGCTCTATAATCATCAAAATATTTGTATTTTTAGATTTTAAGACGATTTTTCAAAGAAAATTTTTTTTAATTCCTATATCTAATTTTTTGTATCTTTTGATTATAAATTCAGAAATCTAAAAAAAAAAGATTTATTTAACTATAAGAAATACATAAATGTGAGAAAAATATTATGTATTTTAGTTTAATTTTTAAATTTTTATTAGCTCTCTAAAAGTTAAGTTGTTAGTTTAAGAAAGCTTCTTGGCTGGCTATACATTTTATAACCTCTGACATACAACTTTAAAAAAAAAGTACAATCACATGCATATGTATGTACCTTATATATTGGTTTTTAAATTGTACTTATTCAGTTTTTTAAACTGAATCACCCTGATTCGTATTTGGTGACAAATAATTTCAAGGATAAATCTTCGATCAATTTCCAACAAAACTTATATGGAGAGGCAGGTATACTTGATTTCGAGCTACAGCCTGTCGAAGACAAAGGTACCAAATTTCTCCTGTATGTAAATAAATCTTTATAACTTTGGAATTATGAAATTGCTTAAGTTGGATTCTGCTTTTAAAAAGGGTTCTAGGGATTTGGATAGTTTGCGTGGATTAGGACGTTTTCTCCAGTTGCTGATTCGTCGGGTTTTCCGATGCTTGATGGGGATTGTGGTTTGGTTAGTTTCACTTCGCTGGGCGATGGGTTGAGGCCTGTTATGTCTCTCCCGGTTTCTGGGGCGCTTAGGACTGGTACTTCGCCGTTTTCGCCAGGAAATGATTTGATGTCCTTGCATTCGCCGGCTTTTCTTGGTCATGATTCGGGTGGGCCTGTGCGTTCGTCCGTTGCGCGTTTGGTGCTGGCGGCTCGACCGCAGGGTCTCCCTTGGCGGCCTCGGCTCCTGTGGCGTCTCTTCCTTCCATTCCGCCTGGTTGTGCTGTGAGGGTCGTCCGTCCTTGGTTCCCATTTCGGAGTTGGTTCAGGTTGGCGTTACGTCTGCTGGTGTCACTTGAGGCGTTTCGGCTTCAGCTGCTGCGGCGAGGTTGCATCGTCCATTGGTATCTGTGCCTAAAAGTAGAATTGTCTTTGTGTTTCGGTTGGCCCGGGACACTGAACCGGGTGATGTGTCCTATCACGTTCCTAGTGTTCTGGGATCGGAGTCGTGTAGCGTCAAGGTTACGCAGATGGCGGCTGATCATTATACATCGCTTAGGTTTGCTGGACTTGTGTCCCTTCCATCTTGTGATGTGTTTGAATCTGTGTGTGTGAAGATTGGTGTGGGTTGCTAGTTTTTGTATATTCTTGTTTGTTATTGTACCCATAGTGCTGGTCGTAAGACTGTGGCTTACAGGGAGTTGCCTGCTCAGGTTGCGTTTGTTTTTGATGGTATGAATTTTTTGGATAGTTTTGTGTTGATGAATCTTATTTTGTTTTGTGTTTGTTTTTATGAATCTTATGTGGCTTCTGATGGCCCGTTGGGCTTTGAGCCGGAATTTCTCGACGATATTGGTTCGTGTGACTTCTGGCAGATTAGTGGTGTTCGTAATAAGTTTGGCAGGCAGCTGGATCTTGTCTTTTGTTCTGATCCTGGTAGTTTTGCTGTGTCCTCTTGTGATAAGTTTATTTGTCTTCCGGATGATTACCATCCGCATGTCTCTATTATGTTTTCTGTAGGGATGTTTAACTCTGCTGCAGCGTCCAGGGGAGGGGGGGTCTTGAATGATTTGTTGCACTCGGTTGAGCTTGAATCTATTTTCTTAGCTGGTGCGAGTGTTGACGATTGTCAGCGTAAGTTTTATTTGTGCATCTTCTACTATTTGTGTGCTTCTGTGCCAGTGGTTAGGGACAAGTTACGTATGTCTTCTCCTCCTTGGTGTACCCCTGAGTTGCGGCGTCTTAGCAATATTAGGAATTCTGCTTGGCGGGCTTCTGTGGTTTCGAGGTCTTCGACCGATTATGCCAGGTTTTGCTCGGCCTATAATGGCTTTAGGTCTCTTTGTAATGATTTGTATGGTGCATATCTAAATGACGCTCCGCGTAGCATGTTTGGCGATCCGCGAAAGTTTTTTGATTTTATTAATTCTAAGAATAGGTCTGATGGTTATCCATCCTCGTTTGAATTTTCTGGTAGATCTTCTGGTGATCCTCTGGTCATTTCAAATTTGTTTGCCTCTCATTTTTTTAGTGTTTTTGCTCCAGTTGATGTTGTGGGTGGCCTATCTCCTGATTTTGCTGCATTTGTGAATGTTGTCGGTGCGCCTGTTAATAATTTTATTCTTGATAGTTTTGTTCTGGGGCCTGATTGCGTTCTGCGGGCCATGGAGAGGTTGGGTGGTGACTGGTCTCCTTACCCTGATGGGATTCCGGGTGTGTTGTTGTATAGATGCGCTGATGGCCTTGTTGGTCCGCTTACTTCTTTATTTACAGAGGGGTGGGTCTGTTGTTACCAATTTGGTTGGGTTTGCCTCGGATACTATTAATGTTATGGAGGGGGGTGGTAAGGTCGATGTTATTTTTACGGATGTTAGTAAGGTCTTCGATACTATTCCGCATCAGGTTATACTGAGAAAGTTGGCTGGCGTGGGTTTTTCTCTTCGTAGCTTGATGTGGGTCTACTCCTATTTGTCTTGCACATTTCATCGGGTTTTTTTCCGTTCTGCTCTGTCTGATGTCTACTGCACCGGGTCGAGTGTTCCGCAAGGTAGTCATTTGGGTCCCATACTCTTTTTAGTTGCGACAAACGATGCTTTTGCCTCTGTTGCGGGTTCCGCGGTTTATAGTTTTGCAGATGACTCCAAGATTGTGAGGACGGTTCGGTCAGAGGTTGATTGTCTAGAGTTACAGAGGGATTTGGATGGTTTTTGGGACTGGTGTAGAGTTTTGGGTCTCGCGTAGGAGGGAGTCTTCTATTGTCCGCCATGACTATTGCCTTGGTGGGGTGGTATTGGGGAGGGTGACCACTTTTTGTGGTCTTGGAGTTATGCTTGATAGCAGGCTGGATTTTGGTGCTCATTTGAATATGATCCTTGGTAGGGCTAACTCGAAGCTAGGTTTCGTAATGAGATGTGCTAGAGAGTTAATGGATCCGTATGTTGTGAAACATTTTTATGTGTCCTTTGTTAGGCCAATTCTCGAGTATGCTTGTCAGGTTTGGACGCCCTTTCGTGCTGTGGATGTTTCTCGTATTGAATCTGTTCATTCTGTGGAGTTGTACAATGTTCGTTATCACTCTACTGATTATGGTAGAAATGAGCCGGTTACTAGAATGTTGCGTTCTGTCAATTCTTATTCTTTGGTATTTGATGCTGCTATTAGTAAGGGTACTCTTAAATCTAAAATTTGGTCTAATTTAGTTTTGTAGTATTTTATTTCTTCTTGTTCTTGTCTTTCTCTCTCGTCTTTATTTATCTATATTATCTATATTACCCTGGTGGTTGGTTTTTTTTTTCTTTTTTTTGTTAATCGTTATGGTTTTTTGTTGTTATTATTATTATTAAGTTGCGCTTTTGCTCTTCCCTTTTTTTTCCTACATATTACCCTTTTTTTTCTCCCTTTCCTGTAAATGATGACACTGTTGCTTGATAACTGATAGTTGCATAGTTGCGACTAAATGATGTTTTTATTTGCGCCTGCTTAATGCTTCATCTAAGCAATGGATGTCTGATAATTATGCGACATACAGTAATCACCAGGCAGGTAATCGATTTCTTTTTGTTTTCGGTCCTACAATTAATTTGAATTGAGGCACAGTTTTTAAGACAAAGCTCATCAAATTCAGAATTTTTGTTTTTTATTGAAATTTTTCTTTCGAAATTTGTGTCATATTTTTTTCGATACACTGCAAGCAGATCTGAAATTTAACTCCTATAACATTTTCCGCTATCTCTCATAGTTTTTCCGGTAAGACGTGTTATATATGTTAAAAAAACATGCGAAAAAGGCGTAGTTTATACATTGTTTAGTTTAATAATACTAAACTCAACAAACAAATCACAAAATTTATTTTTTTTACTCATTTGTATATAAATTGGATTTTTTTTTAAATTTTATTAAATCAAAATTTAGCATCGGTCCAATCATTTTTCCCTTTCCAAATGAAGTGGGATTTAATTTTTTATGGTGAATTCTTGTGAAAAAATATTTTACAATATTTTGACAGAGAATTCTGATTCAAATTTTGACAGAAATTATTTCACCAGTTTTGTAAACACTATGTATTCTCATTTTAAAGTAAATATGTATGTAGATTGTGAGGTAGTAAATGACATTTTATGAGAATGTCTATCAAAATCGTTGCGAACGTAAATTTACTTTTTTTTTTTTTTGCTAATTCCTGTTGACTTGGGTTTTGGAATAAAAAATAAAAAAAAAAACATCTTTCCCAAATAAAGAATTTTAATTGAGTGAAAATAACTAGATTTTATAAAATCTCTTACAATAAATTTTGTTTTTTTTTTTTTTTTTGTGTAAATATAAGAATAAATTTGATGTTATTTTGATTATATCAAAATTTTACAATAGGAAATTTGGTGTGGTTTGGATCAAGTCTTAGAAATCTCAAATACGCCTCTTTTTTAAGTTAAGAAAAAGAAATTAAAGATAAAATACGTTTTTTCAATTTTTGTAATTCTTTTCTTCTGTATTTATTAAAGTGTGGACTAAATTTTTAAGGAAAAAATGGTAAGTTTAAAACTAAAAGAAAGGGAACAGAATGTTTGGTGTAGGCACATTAATTAATAATTAGCGCAAAAAATTTTTCAGTTTTTTTCTTTCAAAAGTGATAAAACACAGAAATGTACTTTTTTAACTTGTATATAAAATTATGAAAATATAAGAGCATTTTTATGAAACAAGTTCATAATAAGAATGAAATCTCAATTACATGCATACACATCCATACATTAAAATAATATCAAAAGTTTCCTAAATTGATTGTTGTTGTTTTTATGTCTAACATAGTAGATCACGAAGTGGTTATATTAGAACATTACAAAAGTTCTATACTCTTATTTACTTTGCATAATGCAAGAAAGGATATTAAATAGGTAGATAAGTAGGTACCTACCTAGCTGCATAACGAAAAGGGACACATTTTAAAATCATTAAATATTTATAATTATTTATATTTTATATTGAGATATTCAAAAAACCCTAATTATTTTGAGGGTTTAAATTTTCAAAAAAATAAACACGCGGGTCCGTCATGGGTCAAAAACAAAATTAATCTGATGACGTAAATAAATATCTATGTATCCAAGTACCTGTCTACCTTCTATAATTTCTTTTTGATTAAAATAAGTATGTAACTATATAGATTACCTAAAATTAAAATGAAATAAAAACCTACCCCTTCAGAAAACGCAACGCTTCCTTAACTTTTTTTTACTAGTACGCTCTACGCTCTTAACAATTTTTTTGTTTTTTTTTTTACTTTTTTTTCTAAATGATACCATGATTTTTTTTTTCTTAGCTTGTTCTAGTATTGGGTGATTTACATATACCGCATAGATGCAGTAGTTTACCAGGAAAATTTAAAAAATTATTAGTACCAGGTCGAATACATCATATACTTTGTACTGGAAATTTATGTACAAAAGAATCATATGATTATTTAAAAACATTAGCAAATGATGTACATATTGTTCGTGGTGATTTTGATGAAAATTTGAATTATCCTGAGCAAAAAGTTGTAACTGTTGGTCAATTTCGTATTGGTTTATCACATGGTCACCAGGTATATATATACAATTATCTTTGCTTAATCATTTTTTGTTTTATTTTTAATTAAATTATTCATTAAAATACGGATATGAACCTACGGTGATGTAATATCATTCAAAAAAATTAATTTAAAAACAAAAAGAATAAAATTAATTTAAATGAAAATTAAAATTCTATTTTAAAAATATAAATAGTACTTGTGCCTTATCTCTAATACCAGAGATCATCCTTTAGTGATACAAGATTGCCAGATTTATCTGAAATTCCCAGATTTTTGGCGTTTGATGATTTTCGGTCGTGATTTTTAATTGATAATTTCCAAAATAATTGATTACTATTGCAAAAGATAAAAATAATTAGGTGCGAATGTAATGAAAGACGATTTATTTAAAAACGCAGCCCAATTTTTTTTAAAATCTAATTGTCGAATTGTACATTATATATTTACAATAATTAAAATAATGAAATAATTTATGTTATTTTTTATTCAATCTGAATTAATGTTCTTTTTATTTAATTTGAATAGAAAATTAAAATACCCGCTTTAATAGGTTTTATATTTTCAATAATTCGAAATTATATACAAGCCGGAAATTGGATAACATTATACTTTTTTATTGACTTTAGTAATTTGTCAAATTTTTCGTAAGAAAAATCGGTAGATGAAAATCTGCCGCATGTAAAAGTAGTTTTCCTCCATTGCGAGTAAGATTCCGAAAGTGTAAACTCCATCACAAAGGTGTACGGAGCTTTCTTCACTCAAATTATTTCGTACTTGTTATTTTTTACTAAGATCAAATGAAATCACATATATTATTTATTTTTTCTCTTTCATAATTTTTAGGTTGTTCCTTGGGGTGATCCAGAAGCTTTAGCTTTAATACAAAGACAATTAGATGTTGACATATTAATATTCGGTCATACTCATAAATTTGAAGCATTTGAACATGAAAATAAGTTTTATATTAATCCTGGTTCTGCAACAGGAGCATACAATCCATTGGAAAAGTAAGTTTTGTTTATTTCTCTTTTAAAAAGTTTCACAAAGTAATTAATAATAAATTTTTGTGCAATCCTTTTTAGTTATGTAACACCTTCTTTTGTATTAATGGATATACAAAGTACAACTGTTGTAACATATGTTTATCAATTACTTGGTGATGATGTTAAAGTTGAAAGGATAGAATATAAAAAAAGCTAGGAAAATTTTTTAGTGTTTACATTTAACTACGGAAAATAAAGACCTATTTTTTTGTTTCCTAATTTAAAAATTATATTATATATATACATATATATTTATATATAATTAAATAAGCTAAAAACATTATTAAGTAAAAAAAATATTTCTTAAAAGCATTAAGTAAAACAAATTTATTCTTCATATGTATATGTACAGTTTCTGAATTGTACATTTTTTCTTTTCTATTTTATACAAAAAATATTTTATTTCTACAATTTATAATTTAACACAGTATATATACATGTATATTTTCTTGTTTTTCATTAAATTTTTTTTTTTTTAAATAAAACAATATTGTAAAAACATTTCTAAATGAAATAATAAAAAGAAAAATATAAGGTCATTTTCAAAAATTAAAAAAAAAAAAAACAAATCTATATAGCCTTCTTTTATTTAGCAATTAAAATTACTATCAATAAATTAATCAAATTAAAAATTTTAATTAATGTTATGGAACAAAAAAAAAAGTTTTAAAAATCTCTTTAACAGAAATGAGAAATAGCTGTTATTAGAGACATTTGATCTGATCTGATATTATAATATCATTCGAAAATAGCATTTTGGGACAACAAAAGGGTAAGGAAAACCTATACAAAAAGTTTATTCGAGACGTCGCATTAAAAACAATTTCCGTTCTGTCATCCCAGTTCTCTATACCTTTACTTTTTGATTAATTCACTATAATTGAATAATGACTATGTATAATCAATCTGTATATCATGTTTTAAATTTTTGTTTCATAGAAAGCTGAAAGAAGAAATCATTTTATACATTTTTCTTTTATTTTCAATTAAAAACAAAATTTGAAAAATTTTAAATCCAGAGTATGAAACAATGAAAATTATAATATAAGAAAAAGAAAAAAAGATTGTTAATTGATTTCACAAATACGATTGCTGCCAAGTGTTTTGGACGTGTAAAATCCAATAAATCAGTTTATGTATTTCATAAAATAAAATAGGAAAATTTAAAAATTAAAAAAAAAATGATAGTTTTAAGTTTACACTCATTAGACTTATTAAAAAGAAATACATGTCAAGTAGTACGAGACAATTCTTAATGCTCTTCTGTGGTTACTCCTTTTTCAAAATATTTTTTTAAACTACAGCATAAGCGGCATAATTTGATATGCCACATAAGTTCTTGCCTCTTTTCAATTTCATATAACCATTTTCACCCCAATTTGGTCCCCACCAATTTTTTAAGATCCAATAATCATCTGTGTAACCTACAACAAGCATAGCATGATTTACTTGTAAATCGTTACAATTATCATCATCATAAACTCCATCGCTTAAATTTATAATTTTTTTTTTTATTTCTATATTTATATGAAATGAATAAAAAGATTTTTCTTACCCATATAATTGAAATGTATTTGGACTCGCATTTAATGAGACAGCTATCGGGCCAATTAATGCAACAGCTGCTTTTAATGCTTCTTCATCTTTTGGTGGTAATATAGACCATGTTGTTACATTTACAATAGATAAAGTTTCTATAAATTGGCATTTACCTTGCTAAATAATTCAAAAATGTCTTTTATGATTTAATCAATCAGGTAAATAACAAAATTTTTAGATTTAAATGAATTATTTTTTTGTTTTGTTGTTTCGTATTGTGCGTTTCAAATATTTAATTTAGCTTTATCATAAATTTTTGAATGGAATTCAAGTAAAGTAAAGTTTACTCAATGGAATTATAAAATTTTACTTAAAGTAAATTTAAAATTGAAAAAATGTTTTTATCTATTAAAAAAAAAACATAATTTCAAGTTTAAATTATGATCAGTTGACTCAGTGATTTATCCCTAAAAACTTTCTTAAGGAATACATAAAATACAAATTCGATAGCGGTAATAAAACTAAGCAAAAAATTTTTCGAACGTTTTTATGGAGTTGATTTAAACGTTTCCTGATTAACAAATGAAGGTTATTTAACTTTAAAAAAATGGGATTTTAACTGCAATGTTAGAAAATTTTTTTGTAGTAATTCATACTGCTACGTTATTCAAGGAAACTGGTTCCCTGATCTTTAAATTATTGTAATACGCTACTAATTTACAAATCCAGTCAAAATCAAATTACTGAATCAATGCAAAGTCACAGAAAATTTAATTTTTGAAATTTAATAATTCAAATATATTTTTTAAATGTACGTACCCTTTCTTGATAAGTATAATCATCGTGTCTCATTAAACCCCCTGTTTCTTCTAAGTATCTTAATGTATTACGTAATGAGCCTCCAGTACATCCTTTATTACCAGTTTTAATACTACAATCAACAACTTGTTGTACACTCAATTTAAACAATTTTCCAGTTCTTTTGAATACTTGTCCTTCCATACTTCTAACAATACTAAATGCATAACATGATCCACATTGTCCCTGGTTATCAGCTGTCATTAAAAAGCCTTTATCACGCCAATCAATTTCATTTGGCAAATTTTCATAATTCAACAATCCGCTACTAACCATATTATCAATTGGATCACTATCTTTATAACGTTGACTATTTACAAGTCTTACATATTTTTCTAAATACGATTTTGGTTTCTGAAAAAAAAAACTCATTATTGAAAATTAATTATAAAGTATAAAAATAAAATTTACCAAATCGGCCATAACATTTGTTCTTAAACGATATGAAACTTTACCATCTTTGTATAATTTATTATGATTTTCAATCACTTTTACATTTTCATAAAATGCACGGCGTGATCTAACTTCTTCATAATTATGTGAATATTTACGTCCCAATCCTGCCTGTAAAAGAAATACAATTAATATTCTGAATTAATTATATGCAATTATAATATAATATATTTTTCATACGCAATTCAGCTTGTAAGTTGTAGCTACCGAATTGTGTGGAAAATATTATTTTTTGTCATATAAATGTATTTTAAACAATGTATAACATAACCTTATAGTTTTGCTCTGACTTCAAAATTGTGGTAAAACGTTATTAAAATTTAGATTATGAATTGTTAATCTTGATTTTGGTCAGAATAATTTAAATAACAGGCAATTTTTTATATATAATAAGAAATATTAAAATTGTCAGCTTCTTAAAATTTTTTTTTTTTTACCTTAAATTTACTAAACTCTTTCCAATTTTTTGGTATGAATGTTGAATTAAATAATGGATTTATAGCACTTTTTCCATTATTATTTAAACAATTTATTTTTTCTAGAATTTTTGAATAAACTGTAATTAATATGATAATTTTTAAAATTTTTAACATTTTTTTCTTTTAAATTTGGTTTCAAAATAATTTAAATTAAAACCCAATATATTTTCTGTAAAAATATATTAAAAATCTATAAATAAGCAAATTTTGAGTATTTTACTTATTCAAAAGAAAAGAAAATAAAACAAATAAAATTTTGTTGTGTTAACTGTTACACTTGTTTTAAATAAAAAAACAACATATAAATTAAAATTTGCTGATTTTGAAAAAATCAGAATATTTTGCAATTTTTTTTTCGCTTTAACTTAAATTTTATATACATTTAGAATATTTTAATTAGTTCTTTCTGTTATATCATTATTAACAGCACTGCCAGAAGTTTTAATTTATCTCTACATCAAAATTATCAGTATTAATACGCAATTTAATAATTCTTTTGTAATTTCGAAGTAATATCGAATTTATATAATAATAACTAATTTTCAATTGATAACAAAAGGAGTCCGTTTAATATTTATACCGCAAAAAGTTGACAAATGAAATTCTATCTTAAATAATATTGGGCGGATATTATGGAAGCAGACAAACAAAACCCATTTCTTGTTTGTTTTAAATCCATGTTTTGGTAGAACGTTAACGTGAATGCGATAAGTAAAGTGAGTTTGATTACACACGTGGAGGGGATCCTTTGGCCCTTCTCACGTTGACAAATAAAATTTTTTGTGACCATCGAGAAATGGTATGTAATGAGTGCACCTACCACTAACTTAAAATCTGGTCAGCCCAACTGTCCCTGGTTTTGAGACAGGCAAAAATTTTTTGAAGTTCGAAAGGCCCGGACAACCGTTCCAGTGGTTAACCATAGCTCCCATCTCCTAATCGCTCAGGTTTTTTCGCGATTTATCTCCTAAACTGTTGAAATGTATATTTAAGTACTTACAAAAATATGTACGGTACCCCTATGCCAGTTAATTTTAGTTACAGTTAACTACAAATTTTAACTAAAATTTTTTACATTATATTGGTAAAGGCAAGTTTGTATTGATTTTAATGGAATTTTTTTTTTAGTTAACAGCCTAATCGTGTACCTTGCTTTTTTACTCACTCTTTATTCATATTTAAATCAGAATTTTCCGCTTTTCTAATGGATTTTTCCAATAAGATTACTCAATTTTTCAATTGGATTTTTTGCATTTATTCTCAAATTAAAGAGGAAAAAAGCGAGATACGCAATACCGAAAAATTCTTCTCATTCGAAAATTATAATATACAAATATAATAATAGTTACTCACTTTCTTCTCACTTAACAAGTAAAATAGAAAGATAGACGATCATGCCCTAAATATAAACTAAATTTTTTTGAGTTAGGTATTTTATTAGTAAAAATTGCGCATACTAAAACTTCTTTTATTTTTTTTGTTCATATACAGTGGATAAAAGCTTTACTTTGGAATTCTTTAGATTCTTTTCTTACGTGTAATTTTTTTTTATTTTAATAAAATTTTTATTAAAGGTCTCGTCTCTCTATCTCTCTCTTAATATTCTCTCCGAAATACCTTAGCCAAAGCCAAGCAAAGCCGTAATATTTGAACAGAATAATATTCTATCTTGTTTATAAAATCAGAAATCAGTGTTGTTATTTTCAACTTGTTTTTCAGTAGCATTTTGTCTTAAAAAAAGTAGTACCGAGAGCTTTAGCGTAGTAATTTGGGGTTATCATTTTCATTAACATCAAACAAATTGTAAGCCATCTGCATTAGATTATTTGTTTAATTTCTCGCAATTTTTTTAATTTTAAGAAAAAGAAGAATAAATGAACAGAAAAAAAAAATAGAATAAATAATAAGAATATATGTATTGCAAAGGGGTGGAATGAAGTATTTTTATTTTTAATAATAAAGGTATATTATAAATATATATTTATTTTTGTAATTAAAAATTACCTGGTGTACATATTTTTTACATTTTTTAGAAGGTGAAGACTTCCTAACGAGTTTCCGCAATTATATTCAAAACAAATTTCAATAAACTTATATCTTAAATGAACCCGCTTTTAAAACTTCGCGTTTATTTTTCAAACAAGGTTCAAAATTTAATTTTTTTTTGTTTTACAAGTGGCCTTTGTAATTTACAAATTACAAATTACATTTTCATAAACGAATACAAATAATTACATCTTCTAGTATAAATGCGAAAAAGTGGTAAAAATGGCTTTGCAGTAGTTTGGTAGTATAGAATACCAAATTGTAGTAAAAAACTACAATTTTAGTAAAATTAACAGCTCTAGCAGGGAGAAATACCAAAAACAAAAATATTCTATTAAAAATATTTTATATGATCTCTCTGTACATACATTCAAGTAAAACAAAAAAAAATTAAAAAATGAAATGTGTACCAATAAAATTTTTTGCCTTAACTCTGAAAATTTCTAAACACCAATTTTATTAGGTATATATCTATACCATTTTTTTGTGTTCTATTTTTTCTTTTTTTGAAATTTTGAATTCGATTAATAATATAAGAAAAAAAGTTGGATCAAACCAACGGTTTGTATTGTAGCACCTTTCCCTTCAACAAGTGAAAATACTGCTTTCAAAAACAATCTATGTAAACCACACTATTAAAATTATTTTCATTCATATATTTAAAAAATTTAAAAAATTTGAAAAATTTTTTCCACGGAAATAAGTTTCTAGTAAAAGTTTCTACCTATAAAATTTCAGATTTCTATATTCAAGGGTGTAGAAGTTTTGTAAACATGTTCACGGATTAACAAACGCACAGAGTGAAGCACTTTTTTCAAAATTTTTTTTCGGAAAAGTACTAAAAAGAGAAAAAACGTTATAACAGTTCTTTGTTTTCAATATTTTAATTTTTTATTTTCTATATCGTACATTGTAGAATTTATGGATGTATTTGAACTTAACTCAAGAATGTTAACGCAGAATTGTGAATGTACGATTATTTACAAATATTAATATAAATACAAGTAAATAGTACAGGTAAAATTACTGCTATAATAAAAAGAAAGAGAAAAAACAAGATTACAAACTATAATTCATAAATAATACATAAATACAATTATATATTTAGTTATATATATATACTTATATGATAAACTCAACAGGTAGGTGCGATCGTGTGTCTTTAAATATTCAATATCACTTTATATATACAGAGACGTATTAAATATAAAATGCAAAACAATAAAAATTTAACAAAACTTTGTTTGTACTTACGTTAGAAAATTCCTTCCATCTAAATTTTGCAACAAGACTTGAAATGCAAGATGCCTGGAAAGAAAGTTCCCTATTGATTTGTGCGGGTATTTATTAACTTCATAAAGTGACAAACAACTGACTATGACCGGATGCAAGTGAAATATTTTGCTGGAAGTATTTAACGCTGAGGAAAGTGTAACTTCACTCATTTATTATTTATACTCGTATGTTTATTAACTTAAACATTTTCACAATATACTTTAAAAAAAATTCTTTTTTATTCACAATGAAAACCTGCAATAAAATATAAAAAAATAAAAATTAACGTTGACAAACAAATTATAATTTAGACTAAAATTAAAAATCGATAGATAAAAAAAATAAAAAGATCTATGGTACATTTGTTATATGAGAAAAAACAACATAGTTGTTAAATTTATATACATATGTATGCGCTTTTTAAAGAGTTCTTTGTTATTGTAAAATCTAAATTGTCTTTATATTTATTCTAAAGACACGTCATATCGAATTTATATAATAATAACTAATTTTCAGTTGAATAATTTTCAATTTCTGTTTAGCGTGTCGTAAATGCCATAATTAGTCGTATGAAACAATACTACGAGTATAAAAAGATGTGGCGATCGAGATGACACATTAGTGTCAATTATTGAAAGTCATAAATTTTAAATGAAAAAGACATAAATTTCCCATGGTTTTACTTATTTTTACAATTTTTTGAATAAAAATCGTAAAATTCAGTTTTTTTTTTATCAAAATAACGGTTCTTAAAAGTGTCATCTGCTTAAAGTGAATATTGTGATCAGATGATAATTGCTCCACTTAAAATAAAAAAAGGGACAATTTTTTGAGTTTCTATTTTAGTTGTTTTTGAGTTTTATTCCGAAAGTACATAAAATACAAAATCAACTAATATTTTGCTTTCAAAACCTTTACTAGCCCTTCCAAAAAACAAAAGTGTGCTTGAAGCTTTTATTTTTTTATTTTGGAGGATAGATTATAAGCAAAAAGGCTTTGGTAAATAGAAATTTCGTGAAAATTCTTTAAAATCCCTGTATCTTTGAAACTGTTGAGATTTCTGGGTGTCAAATCTCTGAACAAAAATTCTACTCCTTTTTGATGCCCTAAACAATATTATATAATTTTATACTCTTTACTGAATCATCCTGTATACTTCTTCTGAAATAAGTCGATGAATGATTACCGGATTAATCGTCACTACGCCATGTTAATGTATTTCATTTAATTGCTTGTTTATATATCGGCCTAAATTAACTAAAGGTATTTTTTATCCTAAGATTCGTCTCTGTTTCAAAACAGTTTTAAAAGCAACGATTTTTTTTTTATCTTCGTTTTTTTATATTACGACGATAACGAGGTTTTTGAATTCTCGTTTGTTATTGTTGCAGGTTAATTTTTTATATAAACATTACTCTTTTTTTTTTGGTTTTGGAGAGTAAAGTAATAAATGAGCAATTTTCAAAAGAAAAAAAAAGGTAAATACTAATGTTCAGAAAAATAAGTATTTTAGTATTTACTGGGCACTAGCACAAGTCATATATACACAAATTAAAATTGAAGTGTAAGCGTTAATAATAATAATAATAATAATAAAAATAATAGTAATAATAATATTTAATAATAATAACAATAATATTACCATTATAATAATAATAAAAAAAGAGAATAAAATTTTAAAAAATAAAAAATAAATTGTAAAATTTGGAAAAAAAATATTTTATTATGAATGAAATTTATAAAATAGTGTATACTAAATGATAGTTATAAAGAAAATATATACTATAATAATGGTGACAGTGACAATGACGAGACTATAAAATAACAGCTATCAAGACGACAACAATGATAATGATGACGACGAAGAGAACGACAAAAACAAAACTATCGAATGCGACAAATGTATGACGTAAAAAAAATATTTGACAAGAAAAAAGAAAAATATTTATCAAAGAGAACGGCGAAGGGAGAGAAAGGCTGGGGCATGGTGCATAACGAGAGTTGAAGAGGTTCGACAATACAATAAAAATATTCAATACTTGCATTTATTTAATTTTTTTTATTAAATTTATTTTACTTATTCTTTTTGATTGGCTAAAAATAGCTATGACCTTTTCTATTGTTTTTAATATTATTAATGACATATTTTCACATACGAAAACACACACACTCATACACCATTCATATATATACACAAATTTATTTGGAAATTTTATATGTATAGGTGTGTTTGTGTGCGTGTGCATACTTGTTAATTCTTAAATACTTTTCCAAATTTTTCAAATATTTTCATTTATTTTTTTTTATTTTTTTTTTCTATTGTGGCTGCTAATTTTTTTAATGATATAAAAAATTGGTTAATATTTTAATGAAAAAAAAATAAGACTAATTTTATTAAAAAACGTTTAAAATCTAAACACGTGAGTGTGTGCAATTATTAAAAAAATTTTTCAAAAAATTTTAATTAATATAAGTGAAAAATATAAATAATATCATCAAATTTTAACACATTTCTTTATTTTTTTTCTCAATTTAAGAATAATATACATATGTATATATATAAATAGCACAAAAGGATAAAAAATATCAACAGGTAATAAGAAGAACTTAATAAGAGTACATAATATGTATTTGTATCTGTATAATTTGGCATATAATTAATAAAAATATGTATGTATTTTGTATGATCAAAGTTATTAAAGGATTTTAAAGTGGTTAAGCCTAAATATTCAAAATACTTTAACACTCTAGATATTACAACTATAGAATACAACAAAATAAATACTGATTGCTGAATTATAAAATAACATAAAACATCTACAATCTAAATAGAAATTAATTTGTAATCTACTCTATTTAGCAATAAAAATTATATTGTTGAATAAGTCTAGATAGACTTAAATTTTGTTACACCTAAAATTGAAAGTCATAATGTCGTATCCCTGCAATTCTAAAGTTATAGGTGAGTGTTACTTCTAGTTTAAGCAAAAGACCTGATGTAGAGGATGTGATTTATAAGATCTGATTTGAATTTTCGCGACTTGAATAATTGTTATAATAAGCTGAATTGTCCATTAATATCGAATTTCTGCCACTTTGTAGTCAGTCAAGGACTCTTCCTAATTATAAAATTGAATTAATGTCTTACTATGTCGAATTAATTTAGAGGTATGATTTAGTTTTGACTATTTATTATGTAATTTTTTTGTTTTAAAACTTGCATATATCAATTGGAAAAAATTCTCTATATTTTGTTATCGGTGTGATAGCGTGACTTACGTGTTCCTTTATTTTTATATTATGAAACTTTTAATATTAATTTTGAAAACTACCTTGAATAACTTTTTTTTTTGCTGATAAAAGAATTTAAACTTTTTTTATGATATGTATTAGAAAATATCCAGTTTTGGAAATGTTAAAGTATTTTATTCTTGAATATTAGGAATCAAAAATTTTTATATCATTCAACAAACCATTTACCTTATTTTATCGGGCATTTCACTTTTGCTATAAAGTAATTACGAAATTTAATTGAAAAACCAATACAATTTTATATAACTTATATTGGTAATCGACAATAGTGTTAACAGAGGTTCAACTTTTAAATATCCATAATATTGTACTCGTATTAACATATAATTTAGCTTATATTATATAATTGCTGAATTGAATTGTATTGACGGGTATTTTGTGATATGTGTAATATAGTTAAGATGTCCCTGACATCGGAATTACAACAATATTGTATCAACACAAAAAAATATTCAATAAATAATATTTATAAACTTAAATTGTATAGTAAATATTAGAGTATATTACACGCAGTTTCGACGTCAAGGGATATATTTATAAGTATTTGAGGAATATTGGATTCAATCTGTTGTATTATAACACCATTATATCAAATTAATTATACGATAGTAACGATTTGAATTTTGCAAAAAAAAAAAAAAACTATCAGAGAAATTTATTTTTTCTAATACAGATGTGTGCAGGTATAAGTATTTATTTTGTGCCCATATTTCTTTAATGGCAAAAGCTGAAAGACAAAATTTTATGAAATATTCATGTATATGCCATATTTTCATTATAATATTAATATACGCGTGACATACATACGCATATACAAATATAATGATGACATCATCATCATCAGCATCATTATCATTATATTATGATCAATATTATGTATTTAAATTTTTTTTTTAAATTGTATAAAATAATTATAATACAAAGGTATGGATCGGAACTATCCTAAGTGAACTTTTAATCAAAATTTATTTGTTTTTTCGAAGTCATTAGATTCTCATTTTGTTGTTGAGGTATTGCCGTTAATATTTTTTTTTAGTTTTAAACCATCCTTTTAAACTGTCAATCCTAAAGTCTCTAAAAATTGTACAAGGTCCTAAAATTGTAAGAGAGAAACAAAATTAAAAAAAAGTCACTTTAAATAATTGTCATAACAAATTTTCAAAATTTACCCTAAAATAAATTGTGACCTAAAGTGATGTTAAAATTTTCATTAACAATAAAAAAAAATGTAAAAAAAAAATCAGTATTTTACTGTGAAATTACACACGTTAATTTTATATTATATTGTAAGCAAATACAGGTGAGAATGTTATGCATGTGGGATTATGCATACATACATGTATACATGCATACATGCTTATAAAATATATTATGGATATTTTAATAATGTAATACAAATTCTGTTTCGTTCAATCAGGTTTTTCTTTCTTTTTAGTTTATGAAAGTAATTTTGGGTAACCCCTCCGTGGGGTGTAATACAGAAAAACAAAATAATTATAAAATATGTACATTTGTATATGAATATACGTAAATTGTAATCAAGTATAATCATAATATATGTATTCAGGTAATAAGTAGCATGACATTATAACAATAATTTTCTCACCAGAGGCCACCTAAATGCATGTTTAGATAATTCCAGTCACAGTGAACAGAAGTAGAGACGGAGAGAGAGAGAGAGAGAGAGAGAGCGAGGAACAAAAATCGAAATAAATTTGATATTACGAGTATAAATTATTTATCAATATATATATGTATAATTGAAAAAAATTGATAAAAATTATATATGTATTAACTTAGGCTACAAAAATTTTAATAGTGCTTGTCCCGACTTCAAAATTGCAGTAATACGGTCGATATTAATATACAATTCGCGCTATATTATTTTTGATTGCTGAATTATGTACACTGAAAAAAAAAACACATATTACTGCTTTGTAAATAAAATATTTGATAACTCGTAGTATTATATAACGAACATCTCCACTTTACGAACAATTTTGTTTGATAGTAGCATTTTTAAAAATTTTCCTTGAAAAAGAGTCTATAATACGATTCTCTATTTAACGGAATTCTGTATATAAGAAAACAAATTCAATTTTCAATTTCTAGTAAATACCGTCTCCAAATAATAAACAAAAACAAACCTTAAAATATCTTTTGACAATTCGACTAAAAAATTTTACTCTTTTATTTTAATTGTCATTTGGATGGTATTAACAATTGATATGCTATTATTAACAGTAATTTTTATGAACAGAGTTGTATTTTATTTATAGTTTTTTTGCCAAAAAATAATGACATAAACATTTCAAAATCACTTTTAAACTTTAGTATATGTACATATGTATATATTTAATTTTTATAATGCACATAACATAATTATTGCATTTTTTATTGAAACTCTCAATGTTATGAACTTTTGTTTGTAATAAAGAAAATATCTCTATATTACAAATCGTGTTCGTAATAATAGAGAACCTCTTTTTAGCAAAATCTCCATATAACGAATAAAACTCTTGGGATTGTGGGTGTTCGTTACATGGTGATTCCACTGTATATGGATAAAATAAAACTAAAAGTAATATAACGTATAGAAATTTCGTGGATGATTTAATTATAATGTGTGATTGTTCTTATAAAAGTTGTAATAAATGTTGTAGTAAAAGTGTACAGGTGGATTCAGCAACAAGTTAGGAGCTATATACCATCGGTTAGAGGATCGAAAGTGAGCAAAAATTTTATTCCTTAACAACTTCACATGAATTTTTTTGAAATTTCCGAAATCCTTTCTACAGAATTTTGCCTAGCTACTTAAGCTCATAACTTTTTGTTAAATCACCCTGTATAAATAGTTTTCGGAAAGGATAGGAAATATGTGGGAAAATTAGTTATAAATTATGGTTGTCTTGATTTTGAATATCAGGCTCTCTTTAAAAAAATATCTAATTTATATAACTTTTTCTCAGTGTAGCATTGCAGTAAAACTACATTTTAAAGTCACAATATCCCTATTTTTATAACTTCATGCATAAGGGGGGGCTTAGTGTAATTTGACCATAGTACAAAAACTTTTTCAAACGTAATTTTTATATTTTATTTTTAACAGTAAATTGTCGTGTACTATTTTATTTTAGTAAAAATTAAAATGAATTGCGGATGTGTAAGTCAGGGGGAAAAAGTAAATAAACAAATTATTTTTTTTTTTTATATTTCCACTTTCCTTATTTACGACTTTTTTTTTAATAAAAAAAACAATCATTCAAATTCCAATTGCATTCCATAATAATATCGTTATTAAAAATGTTGAAGACAATATTTATTACCTATGTATTTTACATATGTATTACATTATACATTTGTATTTGTGAGTTGAATTCCATACAAATATGTATGTATTTCTGTTTGCATATACGTTAAAGACAGTTAGTCATGTTCATATATGGGAAAATATTTGACGAATGAATAAAGAAAAAAAAATAATAATATAATAATACAGTATGCTCTCGAATTTTAACTCAATTATTTAACGGAATTCTCATAAATATTGTAGTTATAAAGTCACCAGATTTCATACCAAAACTATATTAGATTTATATTAGATTTATTATTGATGATATTTAAAATCATATGGTGCTTGCTAATGATACGAGTATTTAAAATTTCCTGACTTCCAGTACTGCACAATTCAACTTTTAAATTATTATTACCATATTACACCAATTTAGCCATTACGAATTTAATAGAAATTTGAAAATATTTACATTATTATAGACTTAACATAACTGCATTATAAAAAAAATAATTTTATTTTCTATTTTCAGGAAATCCTATATAAAACTAATTAAATTGAAATACTTTAATTGAAAACGAAAATCAAAATTTTAACGAATTACTCAAATCAAAAAAAAAAAAAGAGATTTATGAAAATTTATACCCCATATGTGTAAAAATGGCATTTCATTCAAATGGAGGCGCTTATTCTGGTGATGAGCGTGAATCTAGAAGCGGTGGTGAAGAAAGACCTGATAGTGATTTAAGTGATAAACCAGTTTATTTATTGGAACATTTAGCAACATTTACAGTTAATAAAGAAACCGGTATTGTTTATCCGTCAGATGGGATGAGAAGACTTTTACAATTAGAAAAAACTACTGGAATATGGTCACAGAAAATGCAATTATGTTTAGATAATCATTGGGTTCTTATTATGGATTATGAAACTGGAGTCAGTTTGATTATTCTTTCTCTTACTTTTACAATTAGAAATTTTAACTTTTTTAAAAATTTTAGAATGTAATTGAAAGATTTCCAGCATCTCTAATACAGGATCCAACAGCATTTACAAGCAACAGCCCAATGGAAATTTATAATAATATTTTAGTATTTATTGTTGCGGGAGGTTCCGGTTCAAGATCAGAAATGCATATTTTCCAAGTATGTATATAAAAATGTTCCTAATTTCAAAATTGCAACAATGTATTTTTTATTTATTTTCAGTGTCAAAGTATATCAGCTATACATTTAGTTGAAGATTTAAAACAATTACGTAATGGTAAAATAGTAACACAATTACGAGAAACAACTATACCGCCAACAGCATCATCTAGTGGTAGCAACAATCAAGCTATTATTAAAACTAATCCTCACCATCGTAATGAATATAATCGAGATAATGCTATAGGTGGTAGTAGTGGTGGTGTTGGTGGTGGTATATTTAATCATAATGAAACTGATTCTGAATTGGGAATATTGAATGATGAAACAAGTTCAACATCAAGCGATAAATATGAAAGAGATGTTACTGTATTAAATCATTGTTTTGATGATATTGAAAAATTTATAGCACGTTTACAGCATGCGGCTGCAGCATCAAGAGAATTAGAAAGACGACGTCGCAATCGTAAATCAAAAAAGAAAGATCCTGGTGAAGGTTTATTGACATTGAGAACACGTCCACCACATGAAAAAGAATTTATCGATATATTTGCAAAATTTAAATTATCATTAAATTTATTAGCAAAATTAAAAGCACATATACATGATCCAAATGCACCAGAATTAATACACTTTTTGTTTACACCGCTAGCATTAATTGTTGAAGCATCAAGTGATACATATTATGAATCACATTTACCTGCTCATGTTATTAATCCGTTATTAACTCGTGATGCTATTAATTTATTGAATAATTGTGTTACAAGTAAAGAAACTGAATTATGGAGATCATTAGGTGATGCATGGTTAATACCAAAAGATCAATGGAAAGGACATATTGGTAATTATCATCCAGTATTTTTTGATGGCTTTTCACCAGATTATCCAGTTGTTGATGATTTAGAACAACCACCATCAACACCAAATTTAAATACAAAACGTCAACATATTGTTGATACAACACATTTTATAGCAAGACAAAATCAGCAACAACAACAACAACATCATGGTAATAGTCAATTACATCAAGTACAAAATAAAAATGGTTATGATTTAGATAGAGCAACACAATTAAATCAACCACAACCACAACATCATCATCATCACCATCATCACCATCACAATGAAAGGTAAACATATAAAATTAACAAATGTAACTAATATTTTCATTTCCTTATTTTATAGTGCATCTAATGTTGGTGAACGTTCAGGATTCCGTGATTATAGTGCGCGTAGTGATATTTCAATAGATTCAATTGAGAGGAATGGAATTCAATTGAATTCTCAACCAGGTTCAGGTTTGAAAAATCTTTTTTTTTCTGCAATAAGTAAAATCTTTTTAATAAATAAATTTTCATATATATAGCTGCAGCAATACATTCATTGGTTGGTGGTATACAAAATATGGGTACAAACAGTAATAACAATAATAATAGCAATAACAACAATAATAATAATATTGGTGGTCCATCAAATAGTGGAATTATATCAGAATATCAACATACTGAAGTTGAATTATGGTTAGAAAAATTGCAATCACGTGGTGCCAAAGTTGTTCAAGTGACATATCCAAGAACAGCAAATAATGATAAAGAATTAACTGTTATTAGAGGTGAATTTTTAGAGGTATGTATGTGTAAAAAAATTTAATAAGTTTCGAAGTCACTTAGAAAATACTTGCATTCATACATAATTCAGCAATTAAAAATAATTTTATTTTTAATTTTAGATACTAGATGATACTCGAAAATGGTGGAAAGCTAGAAATATTCGGGGACAAACAGCTCATGTGCCACATACTATTGTAACTTCGTATAATTTTGAAAGAGATAATGATATATTTAATAATTCAGGCTACGCTCAAAATTTTACTAAAAGTAGAATGAATGTAATTATTATACAATTAAATATTTTTTTATCTAATGTTAAAATAACCAATATTTTTTACTGCAAAACTGCAGAAATACAATTAGACTTGCTTGACTGTATAGTTATTATAACTTAAAAAAATGATAATTCAAATATTCATCAAAAAAACTTGTGATTTGACTTTTATCGGGAAAAAAAGTTGTTTATCGTAAGTTAAATCCGTGCATCATAAGTTATTTGATAAATTTTTGAATTCGACCAATTATTTTGACCAAAAATTTTAGATATTCCTATTTTAGTAATTCTGTATTATTACACAAATCTTCAATTTTAAAATCAGAATGAAATTCAATTTCTCAAATTTTTTTTAATATAGGAACCGGAAACATCACAACAGAACTCAGCCGAATGGATACGAAACAAACATATTGGTAAGAAAGGAGAATTCCGATATTTCTAGAAACAAGCAAAATGAAAAAAAAAGGAACATCGTTACATTTTGTTTTTTTATTTTTGTGTGTGTACAGTGCTGTAGTTATTCTTTTTTTTTTTTTTTGTTTTGCAATATTGTTTTTTTTTTATTTATATACATTGTGTATTGGCCGGGGACGATTTTCTTTCAAAATAATACGAACAAAAAACAAAAATACTTTATTTTTTTCATATATAAATTAAATTAAAAATTATTGTAAATTTTAAATTGTATTCACGTACTTATATATAAGTATTTATATGTATATATACTTATATATATTCATTTTGTATATGTATTACCTTATTTGTATATTAAAAAAAGTGTATGGAATATCCTTTATAATTTTTAATTATATTAAAAAATATCAATGATTTTAAAATTGTAATAATACTGTAATTTAAAATCTATATACTACGCAATTCAGCAACTATATAACTTTTAGGCTGAATTGTGTATGAATAATGCAATTTTGGAATCATGATAAGTATTGTTATTGCGTGCCACCATGATATATATAGAATTCCAAAACAAAAAAAAAACAATTTAAAATAATATTAAAATTGAGAAAATTCTAAAAAATAAAACTATATAGGACTTTGAAATTGCATTAACACGGTATTGATAGACAATTCAGCCCATGAATTGTAATTGCTGAATTGTGTAACAATACAGTATTACAGCATTTTTGAAGTTGTATTAACAATATGCATAATTAAATACTCAAAAAAGTTAGTTTGCGCAAACTCTACTTTTCTTTTCTTTTTTATATGTTCATTATTTATATACATATATATATGCTTGTATATATATATATATAAATATAGATATATTTATGTAAAATTAATAAGTATATATCTTTTTTAAGAATTAACAATATGATTAGCTATAATTAAATCAAAATTAACATAAAATATTTTGTTTTTTATTACAACATTTTGCATTACAATTTTGTATTACAAAACATTTTGTTTTTTATGATATAAAAAACAAAAGTTAACAAAAAAATGTAAAAAAAAAAGGAATTATGCTCAAACATTATATGTATAATTGAATGAAATGTATATTGTATTCAAATAATGATATAACATTCAAATATGAGTATATTAGAATGTAATATCAAAAACGAATACTTACACATCATATAAATTTATGTATTATACTTGTTAAATATTTATACTCGTAATATTTGCAATATTATTTTTATCTAATATTTCCCTTTAAATCTAAAATTACATTAAAACTTCTTAACATAATTTAATTAGCATTTATTCAGCTTGAACTGTGGTTTTTCAAAACCAATTAGCACTATGTTGTAAATTGAATTGTGTAGTATAATAAAAAAATTACTCTAATTCTGAGATCAATGGAATTATATATTGTCACTGATGTTTAAATTATAGAAATTCAGTCTATTGGCTGAATACCAATTCCAAATAGGAAGCATTTTTTTCTTCAATTACTTTGACTTAACCATAATTATTAAAAATTTTGTTTACCAATTTTTTTTCCATTTTATTTTTAAAACTTAAATCAATAATTATTTTAAAATGAAATATTAAACTTTTTTTTTAAAATATTTATTATAATTAATTATAAATTTTATTTAAAAAAAATACTACCCATGACTTAATCTATATTTATATATAAACATTATTATTATGTATAATATATGGTTGAATTCAAAATTGCATTAATTGTTTTATTATTATTATTTTAAATTCATCAAATATGCAATTTATAATTTGAATTGTATAATTTATATCGCGTATTATCGCACTTTTGAAATCAGAGTACATGTATATAAATCCTTGACTTCCAAAATGCAGTAATACAATGTTAATAATAAATTCAGCTTATAAATGTGAATTGCTGAATTATGTATTAATACCACATTACTTCATTTTGGATGTCAAGGAATGTGTTATGAGTATTACTGCAATTTTGAAATCTCAAACAATATTGTAATTTATAAGAGGAATATAAATAGAATATGAACAAAATTATTTACCTACCCTTAAATAATGAAAAAAAAAAATTTATAAACTTTTATATATGATTATATTGTACATATATATAATATATATGTATATAAATTGCATCTATAGAATACAAATTTGCCAAGTATTTAAGTTTATTTTATGCTTTTAATGCACATATAACAACATAATTTTTTTATGTGTTTCGACATGTTTTGTAATTAAAGTACACTAGGTCCTCGATTTATGACAGCAATGATTTCCGAAAAACTGCGTCGTAAATCGAATCGTCGTTAAACGAGTTTTTCTTTTAAAAAGTATAACTCTGCAATTTGAAGTTAGAGAGAATTTATGCTAAAATCACACTTAAATTGCTTAAAAATAAAAGTATAGATAAGAGTAGCAAATTTCATATTACTATTTTTAAAAATTTTTTTCGTATTAATTCCATAGCAGCAATTTTGTATACATATATATGTATATGCAATTCAATTTTAATATATAATGTAGTAAATAAAATCCATATTTAAGTTTTATTAATTTTACTTATAATTTTTTTTTAACAATTTAGATTTTTATTTAAACAAAAAACAAAAAAAAAGAAATAAAACGATAATAACATGTTATAATAAAAAAAAAACACGAATACTTTTAAAATAATTGTACATATATAGTATATTTGACAGTAAAAATGACAAAATTACATAATTGATTTTTCTTCTAATTCAAAATTCACATATTATTATCACTACAATTTTGAGTAAAATTTCATCATTCAAGGTCTCTGATTTCAATTGTAGTAATACGATATTCAAAATTGTAGTAATACGATATTAATTTACAATTCAGCATACGAGCAATAATTACTGAATTTTGAAAGCTACGAATACTGTGCAATAAAGATAATTGGAGAGGCGCTCTAACAAAGGATTTACACCATATTTGTACAATTTTGAGAGCAGAAATTCTTCCCTTCGTTTTTAAAAAGTTTAAATCAAAATTTTATTATTAAATATAAGAAAATTCATTGTATGTTTTAAAAATTTTATTTTTTGTTTTTACGTTATATGTGTGTGCGTTTTTTCAAATTTTAGTGTGTTTTGTTTTTTTATTGTAATATTCTTTGACTTTAAAATTGCAGTAATAAATACAATTAATTAATCATTATAACTCATAAACTGAATTATAAATTAATTCAATATTATCGCAATTTTTAAGTCAGGAATTCGTTATGTTAAATTTAAATTCGGTATTTGTTTTATTTGTATTTATTTTGCTTCATATATTAACGTAAATATCAAGTTAATTATTTACACAGAGTAAGTTTTAAATATTGTTCATGATATTTTCATATTAATATATATTTTTATTTTGGCTTTTCAATTTTTTGCTGCACAATATATTAAATAATATTAAGTAAATTTAAAAGTACATCGAAATTTACGATTATGATACTATTCTAAATAGTTGCCACACATGTAAAATATTGTCAATTTACTACGCTCACGTTGTTGAGTAAAGTAAATTGATTAAATAAAACATGAGATATGTTTAATTTATGCCTCACAAACTGATCGATGCATTTTTAAATTTATTACACCTTTCATATGTTTTTGATTGATGTTTATATTTTACTTTGCAATTATTTTTTTTTGATAAAACAAAAAAAAAACATTAAATAATTATATGATATATATGATAGTTGATAATGAAATTGGGAAAGAGAATTATAGTGACAATTATAGTAACTACAGTAGATATAACAGCAATGATCGTAATTCACCGCCTCCTCCCCCGCCACCACCACCAAATGGTAAATTGTTTTTAAATAACAAAATTTATTATAATGTCGAAAAATTGAAATAAAAACTAATTTTATCGAAAATTTTTATTTGAAAAATCAATCAATTTACAAATTATTTCAAAAATTCATAAATACTGTATTACTAAATAATTCAGCAAATTATAACTTATAAGCTGAATTGTGAATAATGCTTTGAATTGTCTTTGATACAATGAAATATTTTCGATAAAAAAAGAATAATAATTACTTTTTGAATTTTGTTATTGGTTTGTTGGAATTTTTTTTTCACACTTTTTGACACCAATCAAAATACCCTGATATCGGAATTATATTAATATTGTATCACTTTACAAAATCCAATAATGAATACGCACTATTCCTAATTTAAACTGTGACAACTCAGCTTTTGTTTTGCAATTTTTTATTGCTTTAGAAATCAATATTAACACAATTCCGATGTTAAGGTATCAATCAAAAAATTACAATTTACAAAAAAAAATATTTTTAATTTTATTTTCATTATTATAAAATAATTTTTTAATATCTTTCTGCAAAAAAAAAAAAATGTTCAGCTTCTAAACAAAATAATGAATCCGAAATTATGACTATTGGTGGTGCATTACAAAATGAAAAGAATAATAATAATAAAAATAATGAAAATATTAACAATAAATCTTCATCGCCTGATGTACAAAAGGAATTGAAACATGTTTTAACATTATTTCGTGAGAAACGTCGTAATTTAGAAATTATAAGAACACCTGAAATTTATATACAACAAAATTCGAGTCCATCAGAAGTTCAAAATTGGTTAAAAGCTAAAGGTTTTTCAAAAGCTATTTGTAATAATTTGAAAGGTTTAAACGGTAATGATTTATTTGCATTAAAACGTCATCATTTAGAAGATATTTGTGGATCATCAGAAGGTAAACGTCTTGCATCACAAATAACAATTCAAAGGAATTGTTGTGAGGTAAGTATATTTGTATTACTTTTGCAATTCTTAATAAAATAATTGGCCTTTTTAATGCAAAAGATTTGAATTTTAAATATTGATGAATCAATGCCATCATCACAAGTGCCTTGTTACCTCCTCAATTTAATTTTATTTATTGAGCTCACGAACACTTTCGTTCACAATTCAAAAATTAACTATTATAAACTGCATTGAAAATACAGTATCATTACGATATGAGTAAAGCTGATCCATTTTTATTGAATTTATATTATATCATTCGTTTTTTTTTGCGCTTTCTTTCTCTTTCTATTGAATATTTTTTAAAAAAATTCAAAAGACTTAAGGGAGAAACTTTCAATTTAAGAATTTTTTTTCATTTGCTTAGAACATTGGTATTAACATTAAAAAAAAAAATTTTTTTTATTCGATTTTTAAAGTTTCTTATTTAGTAAGTACTGACAATCAAACCATTGTCTTTCTGTTACAAATTGATTTAAAAATTAAGGGAGTTAATTTGTCTATTTTAATAATTTCTAAATTTATCATATAAAAAGTTATGATCATTTAACATAAGTGAAAAGTTCAGCTAATCTATGTGAATCTCCTGTTTTATAGAGAGCGTTCCACTCTTTAAGGGTCTAATGTATTTAAATAACAAATTGGTGTAGGTAGTGTAGTAAAATACCAATTTAATGTCAACTTCAGTAATACAATTTTCAATGTTAAATAAGTTAAATTGATCGTATCGGTACCTAAATTGTTAAAATTTCAAATATTATTGAAAAAAAATTTTTTTTACAATGTTTATTTTTTTTATTTTAATAGTATAAAACTGCAAGATCATCTGAATTACAAGCAATTTTAGCAAAAGCTAGAGAAAAAAGTGAACAAACTTCTTATAACTCTGTAGCTCAGAATTAAAACAAAAACAAAATTGAAGGTGAAAAGTGAGGGTTCCGGTATAATATATTTGAAACTTTTATATTTTGAAAAAAAAATTTTAAAATAAATATTATATTTATAATAAAAATTTTATTAAAATTTCTTAAAATTTATCTTGTGTAATGTAATATTTTTATAAAATCTAGAAACCAAAGTAATATAACAAAATTAATATTAATATAAATTAAAACAAAATTTTAATAATTGTACCAAAGTTTATATTTTATGTAATAAATAAATATCTATAAAAATTTTATCTATTCTAATAAGTTGTTTAATTTGAGAAATTCCACACAATCTACTAAAAGCCGTCCTAATAAACTCAAATGTGTTTTCTGTCTATTACAACAAAATCGAATTTTTTCGTTTTTTTTTTGTAGTTTTCTCTAACTCGATAATTTTGTACGAAATTTTTATTACAAAATTTTGCTTAGCTCCTTAGGTTTTAATACAAGTTCGCAAACGTTAAAATAAGTTTTATGGTATAGGAAATATAGTACAAAAACCGTTTCTATATGTAAAGATTTTAAAGGCCCTAATAAAAGCAGTTGACATTTTAAAAACTATTATTTGGGTAAAAAAATATGAAATTTTCAAATTTTTATTGAAACACATAAATTTTAGAAAACAAAATAACGATCAGCTTTTTTCAGACGAATTAATAAACCATCAAGAGAAAACAATGTTCGACTTTAAATAGTTCAGCTCAAAGCCGACGAACAAATGAATCCAGGTTTAGCCCAAAAAAAGAAAATGTTTCTTTTAAATTATGTTGTACTGTACAATATATTAATAATAAAAAGTCTGCAACTACATTGAAATATTTCCCTGAACAATGTGTTTTTTACAAAAACGAAAGAAAAAAGATATCAAAATTAAACCGCTTACCGCTGTGTGGTTGTTCTCTCAGGGGTTTTTGAAGCTTATACATTCAAAAAAAAAATTTAATTATTTTTCTTCCTTTCTTTTGAAATTCTCTTTTATTGTGTATTGTACTATGCGGTACGTGAATATCAGAAAAAAAAAAATCTGATGTGGCCAGCATATAACCGACCGTAATGTTATTGGCTAGTTTAGCGAAAGTGTTACAGAAGATTATGAAAATGCATTTTGAACATTTCCTTTTAATTTAAAGAGTGTTAGCAAGCTTTTAGCTAATATATCTGGAAAAGTGTAAATTTGGATCTCGGTAGAATTTCGCTTTGTGCCAACCGAATCCACTGAAAAGTTATTTTCGGTAACAACCAGAACTCAAATATCAAATTTCAAGAAATTCCATCAATTAATTCCGTAGATATGGTGAAAAATATAAAATCGGTTCCAAATTTGGTTTCCGAGCCCTGATCTTTAAAAAAAATTTACAGATATTGAAATTGACCCGCAAAGAGGTTCAGTTCCAGAGGTCTGATATATCCCAAAAGTTGATCAATTCGTGTCATAGCCAAAATAAACTAACATATAAAATTTCCTCAAAATCAGTTAAGCCGAACTTGAGATACACGCATGCATACACAGACCAACAGACTGACAGACCCGCCATCTCTCTAAAAGTAGTTTATTTATGCTTCCCTACTATGGAGAAGTTTGTTCCCGCCGAAAACTCGACATCCAAAATTTGATGCCATCACATAATCTTCCTCATTGTATACAATGCGGTCGGTAAAAAAACAAATTTTTTTTTTTTAATTTTAATTTTCGGCATTTCTTTTTGTTTTTCAGTTGTTGTTGTTTTACGATTACCTTTACCTTTATTGAGATTTCTCAAGAAGAAGAAGAAGAATAAAAAAGAACAAATATGGTTAAGATTTTTGTTTTGTTTTTTTTTTTTTTTCATAAAGAGGAATATGTTTTTTTTTTTATTTCTATTTCATTTACATTAGAAATCTCAACTGATCAACATGTAGTCAACCATTATTTATTTATTATAAGTTTTAAATAAATTAATAAAGAGTATTACAAATTTATAATTTAATTAAAAGAAAATATAACAAATTCTTAATATTTTATTAATAATTTCATAAACTTAAATAAAAAATAAGTAAAAAGATATTGTGGTTATAATAAAAAAAAAGAAATTATATGGGGAAATAAGTGAATTGTAAAAAAATACATTATTGTTGTACGTAAAATCGCATACATACTCGTATTGTAATATAAAAAATAAAAATAATAATTAAAAATGTCTTAAAAAATAACTTAAAGAGAAAATTATTAATTCTTATAAAAAATATATTGTTTAATTTTAGTATTCTCTAGTTAAAATTATAAAAATAAAGTAAAATATTAAAAAATTTTCAACTGATCATTATTACTTTTGTTAATTGTATAATTATACTTTTGAAACAAAAATCGAATAATAATCTATAATAATAAAAATATTATTAAAGTATAGAAACTAGATAATAACAATAACAATAACAGTAATAATAATAATTATAATTACAAAAAAATATACAAAAAATTTAAAAAATAAAATATTAAGTACAAATAAAAAAAAAACAAAATGAAAAGAAAAACAACAATAATTAATAATAATAAATTTAATATAATTTCATTATTATTATTAAACAGAAACTATTCAATAATACCGTTGTTAATATTAGGGTTATTTATTAATATTAAAGAGAGTAAGTACTTCATATATGTAAAGATTCAAAATATACAGGGTTATTAATTAAAAAATATTATACAATATTTAAGATATATGCCATAGTTTTTAAGGATAAACAAAAAATGTATAAGACTTTTGTGTGCAAGTTTGATCGAATTTTGAAATAATTCACATTTGAAAACTTTTTAACAAGAACAAGTGGAAATAGAAGAAGAACACCATTTGCATTCTTTAAGATTTCAAAAAACTTTTATTATAAAGTAAAAACTGTAAATCAATTTTTTTTGTATTTCAAACAATTACCACTTTAGCATATAAGTACTTATATTATTATAAAATTCTTATGTCCTGAGGATAGTTATACAAATTTAAAATTGACTCTCTAATCCAAAATGGGATTTTTCGTAGGTATCAATGGAAATTGTTCAATTATATATTCTAGAATTCGAAAATTCTATACTTATATGTATATACATCTTATATATTCAATCGCAATACAATGACAGATTTCGCATCTGTATGCTTTAAAATTTTACACTGAGAAAATAGTACAAAAAAATTGTTAAATTAAATATATTTTTAAAGAGAACGGACACAAACGACATCACGACATCCTTCACGACTCTATATCAAATTATTACACAAATTTATTTCTTTTTCTTTACTTTTTTTTTGAATATAGTTCAAAATTGTTTTATAAATGTACTGTTTTTCAAATTATTTCGCTTTTTAAGTCGTTTATGAAAATAAATTATCTATTTGAAATAAAAGAAATTTCTGAATAAACTACAATAATTTCGTATATTTTTTAAAGAATTGATCACATTACAAATAAATTCTTTTTTATTTGGCAATGCTAATAATTTTGTGTCAATTAAAACATATTTTATTCAGCTACATTTTATTTTGAAAAACAAATAAATAAAGTTGGGTCAAACCAATGGTTTGTATTGTAGCACTTTTCTCTTCAACAGGTCTATGTATACCTACCACACTATTAAAATTATTTTCATTCAAAAGAGCTTGCGGTTTCGGAAATATAAGGCGTCAAAAATTCAAATTTTATAAATTTCAAAAGGCGCTAACTTGAGAGGGGGTAGAGGTGGAGAAAAATTTTCTTCTAACGAAATGAACTATTTCTTAGTGTTTAAAAGCTGCTGAAATTTCAGACTCGGCCAACCTGAGATCTAGAAGAAAAACGATATTAAAAATTTGTAAAAACCGGATTTTAGATAACTGTAAATTTGAACAGCCATTTTGTTTGTTTAAGGTTTAACCATAGTATGACGCAATAAGAGAAGCAAGCCACTGACTTTCTGCGTTTGCAAAATTTGAAAAATGCTTATGGTTTCACTGCAATAAATAGTTAAAAAATGGCATTTTTAGGGTTTTGGGGGGATATAACATCTAGAGGAGGGGAGATACGTAAAAATTTTGTTCTACGAAAATAAATTTCTAGTAAAGATCTGCGCACATATAAAATTTCAGCTTTCTATCTTCAAGGATGTAGAAATTTTGTAAACATATCCTCGTACGGGCGGACGGACGGACGGACGGACAGAGGGGCGGACAGACGGACGGACGGACGGACAGATGGATGGACGCACGGACAGAGTGAAACTAATAAGCCCTTTTTTTCCAAAATTTTTTTGTAAAAGTGCTAAAAATGCCTTTTGTCCAAAGAGTTATTTATATAGATTTGTTATAACACACATATATCAAAATTGAATTATCTACGAAATTGCTACACATTATATCCCTTTCATATAACTGAATAATAAGATCATTTTACTATAAGAAGTGTTAATATATGTTTATTGTTATACAAAGATAAATATTATTTCTATTTACAATCAAATATTTCGAGTTAATAAATATTTGATTTACAAAACAGAAATATGATTTTCGAAATGGTTTATGATCACATTAGATATGCGTTTTTTTTCAGTGTGCGTATACGAAATTTGGACTTGCATTTATATGTATAATTAATAAGAAATACTCTACTTTAAGATTCTCTTATACTAAATTGAAATATGAGATGTCAATATAAAAATTCGAGAATTATATTATTTTTTTTCTTCTCTTTGCTTAAGACTTATTTTGTTGTTATTGTTCTCTCTCTAACATGATCTCTTTTTGATTTCCTTTTATTTTTTATTAACTCTATATTCAACAAACAGAAACGAAGTAAAACTCTCGGCATTTGATAGTAATATAAAAATTCATTTATTACATGCAGTTATGCCATTTTAAGGATATTCCAGCGAGTAGGAAAATGCAATATAAAATTGGCAATGTCTGATGTTTCAGATTTTTGTTGAAATTTATGTGAATGAATGTGTATCTTATTTGCAAATAATATATAAAAATTGAAAACTTCCTATATACGATTATACAAACAAATAAATTTTGTAAATTTTTTTAAATGCGCCTCCTAAATCATTTAGGTATGTATCAATTAGAAGAGTGAGCACGATTAAATAAATCTCACACTGTTAAAATCCTGAATATTAGTCACTGTATTCACTATTTTAACAGTCATTATACAGCATAAATACTTCAAAGACAGTGCTTTCGTAACACTGAAATCAACAAATTAAAAATATGTAGATTTCCATAACATAGAAAATAGTTATCTTAATGTCAATTGCAATAAAATAAAAAAGAACACATATTTTTAATATGTAGAAAAGGAAGGACTACTGAAATACAAATTAACTGAAAAAAAGGAAAAAAAAAACAAAATGAAAAGGAATAACAAAACACCACTACCACCCTCATTCTGGAACAATTTGTAAACCGATATCATTTTGCTATTTTTATTTTGTTTTTTTTTTTTCTGTTATCATTACATTATAAACAAAAGTGAACTCCTCAACAAAAAAGTGAGTTTTTGTTTCAACAAGCACCCCTTTTGTAAATAAATTTGAATTTTCGGTAAGTGCGGATTACAAAAAAGTTGTATATATGAAACGTATTTCGGTTACAAAAATCGTAAATTCTATCTAGTTTCAAGTTGTTATTACGCCACCCCCTCACGCCCCCATTAACGAAGGAATTATTTAAAAAAAATTCTGAAAATAAATCAAAAAAAAAAAATCAAGGTATAAAGTATTTCTTTTTTTATGGTTAAGAACCACATACAAAAAATACTTGTTTGCATATGGAGAAGAAAAACCGAGTAAAATAAATAAAAAAAAAAATCATGAAAGTATTATTTTACAATAAAAAGGGTCCTTATTTTTTTTTGCTGTCTTTACCGGAAGGATTGCATTTTTTTCGATACACTCAGTTAAAAACAATATTTAGCAAAACAAAAATAATACATATACATGTGTATATGTTTGTGCAGTGGGAATGAAATATTTTCAAGACTTTTTTAAATTCTTCTAAAGTCTATAATATTCTCTTTAATGCGCATACATTTTCAAACGGAAATAATAACGGAAATATTTTAAAGAAAATTTCCTTTTTAATTTTTTTGCAATTTTAATGAAATTTTACTCCTTAAAAAAGTCTAAAAAATGAAAAATAACAACTAGATATTTGTTTCCACGTATTCCAAAAATATGTGAACAAATCTAAAAATGTAGAAAAATTTTTGTAGAACATATTATACCGTAAAACGAAAATATGTTCAAAATAATGTATACATTGTAAACAGGTTATGGAGTGGCCTAAGTTAATTAAGACCTCATAGAAATTACCTTCGTGTTATACCGAAGATAAATTTTATTAAGCATATCTTAGAGTCACGTACATATAGTAGGGAGGTGTGATGGCTTATGTAACATTTATCATTTTGTGTCTGAAGACATTGCGACTTCATAACTACCTACAAGTTTCGTTTCAAAAAAAAAGAAGAAAAAAACACCAGAAATTATCCAATTTTTTGTTATCATGATATTTTTAAATATATACAACAGTCTTATCAGTTTTATATTTTAAAAACATTAAAACATTTTTGGATATCAGAACATTTCTAAAAAAACTTAAAAAAAATTGTATATGTAATTTAATATTAATATTAAAAAATATTAACTTTTTTTTCATTCTAGCTTTTTCTTTATGCTATTTTCCAATTGAAATACAAGGATCATATATAACACAAGGTTCAACATTTATATCAAATAACAATAACAACAATAATAATAATAGTACAATACAATATAATCAAATAAATATAACAGAAGATTCAATACCAATATTAGGTATATGCTATCGTCGTATTATCGATAATAATATTATATTAATGATGAGTTCAGATGAAACAACATGCTATAGATGCTTTAATATTAAATTAATTTCAAAAAATTTATTAAGAATATTAACAACAAATAAAGATTTTATATTTAAATGTTATGCAAATGAAGGAAAAGCTTTACAATCATGTCCTCAAGATGATGATGATAATTTAATTATAGCAAATAATAATAATAATAGTAATAATAATAATGAGAGAATATATGACAAAAAGAATTTCAAACAATATAACGAAATTATATTATATAGTAAGTATTTCTATATTAGTAAGAACAAATATAAAATTACAAGTTATTGAGACGAAATAAAATTATATTCCAATAAAAATTGGAAGGGTAAATTTGGAATCTTATTAAATTATAATACAAATAAAAATTTTAAATACGCCCTAATTTTCAAATTACAATTAAGGTTTTTTATTCACATAATTCACATTAAAAAGTTTGCAAGTATAATTTCATCAAAATTATAAATGCATTAAAAATCACATACATTTCAAAAATTACAAATGCCTACATTTATTCAATTTATATTACATACTTACATACATTTATATTACTTAAAAACTTTACAATTCGATTATGAAAGAACCCTCCTAATATTTTTAACTATAATATTATCATTTCATATTAAAAAAAAAAGTTTATTTATACACAGAAAAATTATCATATGATGGTGAAAAAATTCGTGGAGAATATTGTCCATTTAACGGCCCCTATAAAATTTCTTATTTTAATAATAATAATAAAGAAAATATAATAAAATGTACAAAAGAATCAAAATCTAAATTAGATAATTGTCCATCTGGATCATCATTAAATTTACGCTTACGTGGATGTTCATCATTTAATAGTCATGGTAAGTGAAATTAAAAAATCAAATATATAATATTAAAAATTTATAATTCAACTTAAGTATATGAGTTGTAATTGCTGAAATATCCCCTAATAATTTATTTTTTACATTATTAATTTAATAGATGTAGTATTGGAATGTCTCGGACATTGGGAAAATAAGGAACATGAAAAATTTTTAGCTTTAAAAAATTCAAATTATAATCAAAATTCAAATGAAAAAATTTTATTTAATGGATTAGAATATATTTGTGTAAAATATGATGAAAATTTAAATAATAATGGTATTATAACAATAAAATTCTCTAAAGATTCAATATGTTTAATGAAACAATTCAATAATAACGGTATTAATAATCAAATTGAACGTTTACAAAAATATTTACAAAATGATGATTTAAAAAATATTAATAAAGAAAATGAAGATAAAGATGAAGAATTAAATGAAATATCATTATCAATGGAAATATTACAATTATATCCAATAGATTTTACGGATAAAAATTCATTGAAAAGAATGAACTCATGTAAATTTCCAAAATTATTACATGGAAATTGGGAGCACATTAATATTATGAACGATTCACTTATATATCGTGATCAAATATCATATAAATCATATACAATGAAATGTGTTGAGAAATCTATTGATAATAGTTTTTTGGTATATAGCCGTACACAATGGTATGCAAATTTTTTTCCTGTATTTAATTTTAATTTTTAATTTCATTTTTTTTTTCTTGATTCGTCTTCTGTATATACATAATACAGTGATGAAGAAATTTATCAATGCATTAAAATTAAAATTCGTGATCAAAATATAATTGAATTTCAAATTGGTATTACCCAATCACAAATTGATGATTTAAAAATATGTAATGAAGAAAATTTCAATATGGATCATTGGATAACACAAAGTAGAGAAGATGATAATTATAAATTTTCAGCATGCCCAATTAATGGTATTTATCACGGTATAATACCGGATGCACCAAATTTGTGTGCAAAATTAATATCAAATTGTAAATCGAAAGATGTTATGTTTTATGAAGTTTATTCATGTGATTTTCATGAAATCTATGAAGGTGAATTAAATACTCTAAAAATTATTATTAAAAAAAATTCTAATTTATTATATCAGTTCAATCATTTAATAACGATATTAATACTGGTAAATGCTATTAATTTTTTTTTTTATGCATATAGAGAGAAAATATCGATGCCTTGGTCAATGGAAAGATGATAAATTTGTTTATACCTATACAAAACGTTTGGATGTATTGACATATGAATGTTTTATCGGAGCACAAATTAACCATGATATAATATTTATTAAAGAAGCTGGAGAGCATTGTAGTCGTTTAATAGATCCATTAAAGCATGGAATGGAATTGAATAAAATTGGTAATATAGCACCTATATATAATAAATCGTTTATATTAAAAGTGAACCTATATCCATCTAATATCTTAAAACTCCTTTGTTTTCCTAGCAATGATAAAGTTAGCTACTTAGTTTTGAATAAAAATATTGTAGTAATCGCAATCAAATAATCACAAATTTATTAAATAATTGTTTTTTCTTTTTTGTATAGGTTATTGTAGCAACAATACTGAATTAAATAGTGATCACAATAAATATGATAATAAATATCCTGGTATTATTATAAATGTTACATTAAATGATAATTTTCCATCAATTTTAACAACAAATACAGATGATAAGGAACAACAAAATTATTATGTTGACCAAGAAAAATATAATCAGGAAAAAAATCAAGAACAACAAAATCAACGTAATATTAAATTATTAAAAACTTATAACAATAATGAGGTATTTATACCACCACCATCTCATATTATATCGGCAATATTAAAGGAGAATACAAAATTACGTGAACAAATGAATTTATTTAATAATAACAATAATAATAATAATGATTATAATAATAATAGTAATACAGTAATGGCATCAACAATGACATTATTAAAATCATTAGATTATTTTGATAATAGTGATGTGAATAACAATTACAATAATAGTAATAATAATCAAAATAATCATAATAATAATGAAAATATTTATTATAATAGTTATGAATATAATAATAATAAACAAAATAATGATTCACATAACAATAAATTAATTATTAATAATAATAAAGATAATATTAATTATATTAATGTAACAAATATTATTCAAAATAATAACGAATATAATAATAATAATAGTAACAATAATAATAATAATTTTTATGATATTAACATCAAACGTGATGATAATATAATAAATTATATGTATGATAAAAAATTCACTAATAACAAAAATAACAGTAATAATAAAACAACACTATTATCATCATCGTTATCACCTTCACTATCATCATTAAATATTACAAAAGAAATTCAAAAAGAAAATATATTAAATAATAGTTGTAATAATTTATATGCATTCAATTTAAAAAAATATTATTTCCTCATTATATATATTATTAAAATTTTAAATATTTAAATTTAATTATCATTTTTTGTAAAAATTTTTACACGTTTCCTTTAACTAGAAAACACACTATTAATTACATTTTAATTATACAATTATGATACGTTTGACTTTTCAGGAAAAAGTGAGCTTAAATAAAGAAAAAAAGTGATCAAAATGAAAGCAAATAAGTAAAATGACAAAGTAAAAAGAACTAACTTTTATTGTGATTAACAGTAAATGAAAGCTATTCAGTATTCCTACTTAGTATTCTACAGAAAGTATTAGCATATTATATATTAAGTAATATGTACATATGTTTGTAATACGGATAGAAACATACGTTATGTTCATATGTATATTGATGAGCATGCGATGTAACTTAGGTTCTATTATGCTTATTATAAACATAAATCCGTCTTTACTCGTAATAAATTTATTTCAAACTGAATTTAACGCTTACATCAATAAAAAATTGCTGTAATACAGTGTTCTCCATTACACAATTTGGTAATTAGCTCTCATTCGTAGCAATTCTGATCTTCAAATTGAAATTTGATTTAGAAAACCTAAAATTATTTTATGAAAGCATTACAATCATATGAAACAATTTTTACAATTTATCAATTCATTCAATTTAATATATGTATATTGTATGTATTATGTAGATTAAGTAACTATGTATTACGTATTATGTAATAAAGAGCTCACACCGTCTGTAGAACAATTATTTTTAAAAAATTTGAGAACTCACAAAAAACATGATAAGAATATTTAAATATTTCTAATTATACTTTTCAGTATTATTAATTTTATTAATAAATTTTTTTTTGTATGCAAATTTTATGTATTTATGTGAAACATATTTTGTTATATAAAATTTTATATATTTAATAATGATTGCATTTTTATTTTGGAATTTTAATATTTATATAAAATATACAATATCACTTACCTAACAGATAAAAAAAGATGAATCCAAGGCAGCAATTGTGGTGCATAGACCCTGAATCCATAATTCATCATTCATCAATCACCTGTACATATTTAGCCTGCATAGATTGTTGATTGCCTGGGTACATATAAATTTAAAGTAACTGTCTTTCTTATTGTACTTAGTCTCTTGGCCTTTTTCCGTACCCTTTTTAATTAACTAGGTATATAATTCTGATTTTCTTCAGTTTTTTTCAGCAATACAATTGTTATTGTCTTATTTAAAATTCCGGCGAATATTCTATGCCATTGCCTTAAATTGCGCGAATTTAATTGAACTCAAAATAACTGTATTTTCATGACTGTGCATGTCGAATGGGCATTGTTCTGTACACTTTCTAATTAGCTTACTTGAAAATATCAAATTATTTTTAGTAACCTTAAAAAAAATCAAATTTTTTTAAATCTCTTGAGTTTCCCAGCACAATATCGTCTTATTTTCAAATCAGCTTTAAAATCCACCATTGCTTTAAATTTGGTCCGGAATTTAATAAAACTTTTACTTTGTTTAAATTTTCTTGTTTAAATCTCCAATCCATGGTAATTTTAAATTATTTCAATAAACTTTATACTTTAAATAAGTAAATATTAAATTAAATTTATATTTCACACTAAAATTTAATATGTAAAAAAAAAATTAACTTTTGAAAACGATCAGTAGTAATTCTAAACTGAAGTTTAATTCAATTTTGAATTCAATGTTGCCGTTTACATGACATATTTGACAACTGCTTTTTAAGATTACTACAAATATTGGTAGTAAACAGTTGCGTATATATGGATAGCTACATATGTTGAACAGCTGCATGTGCTAAATAGCTACATAGGTTGTATAGCAACGTTCGTTTACACAAAAAGTTATGTATATTTGTGGATAAAAAAAAAAATCGTTTTTTAAAGAGATTTGAGATTTATTTTAATTACTCAAAAAATTTTACTATTTCAAAATTACTCAAAAGGAAGAGAAAAGAAACAACAGGAATATGTAGCGACGTGTAACTCTTATTAAAACTTTTTTTTACAAAAAACATATTATTCGCCTGAAGATTTATTGACGTTGTCAAACTTCTGATTCTCTTCTTTACTAGTTTTAAATTTCAAATATGTAGTTGTCAATATTTGTATCTCTAAAAGTTTTATATGTAAAAATTTGTTTGTATATATTTTTTAAATATATTAAAAATTTATATATATATACATGTATATATATATATATATATTGTTTCACGTAATTTCCGTATTTCCATTAAAAAATACTTACGAATATTACGCTTGTAAATATAATTTGAACACGTAAATGCAACGTAACATAATTAGTTGATATTTTAGTGATCGAAGATTAAAATCTCGTAATAAAAACTTATAATGGATTTAATTTAATATGTGTGTAATTGTTTAAATTTTCGACAATCTATCATTTTTGTAAAAATTCCTCAACATCAAAATTTAATTTTGAGCTTTTATAATTTAATGGTTTAGCCCACAGCGGCTGATGGAGACATTTTAATTTTAATAAATTTTTATATACATACAAACATAAATTTATGTGTTTTTTTTAATATATAGAAATTTATAAGGTATATCTAGATTGTATTGAATGTATACTTAAGTATACATATTATATGTACTTACTTTCACATCAAAAAACTTTCTATATTTTTTAAAGAATATTATTACAAATATGCAAATATGTACCGTTATACATACCCTATACTTTGTTAATTACACATAAATGTTTCAGTTGTTATAATAGGATATGATTTAACATTTAAATTTGAAATTGAAACAAGAAGATCATATTAAGGTTTTTTGAATTTTTACCGACCGCATTGTACACAATGAGGTAGGCTATGTGATGGCAACAAATTTCGCATATTGAGTATTTTGTGGGAAGGCATTTTTACCAACCTGTCGGACTGTGTGTCCAATTTGATGAAATTGTATATGTAAGTTTATTTCGACCTTGGCACGGATTGATCATCTTTTGGAACCTCAGGAATTGGATTTTTTAATGGGCCTGTTTTACATTTCGGATCATTTTGAAGAAAATATTCAACAGATTTACTTGAAACTTTATATGTAGGTATATAGGCTTCATTCGACCGTACGGGAAGGCTCCTGAATTTTGGAAGAAATCAGTTGTGTCAGCAACTGGATGTATGCTACTTAAATTCAGTTAATTAGTGTTGAATGGCAGATCACATAAGAGTCATATAAATTCAGCTTAATAGAATTATAAAAAAAACTAACTTTTATTATTTTTGTGAGTATTTTTTATTTTAATTTTTTTTTTTAGTACAATTCTGCTTTTCAAAATATTTGTTTTTTGTTTTGCTTTTTTTTTCTCTTGATTCTTTTTTTTTTATTTTATTGTTTTTAAAGTAATTTGTAATGGACATTTTTTTTTTAATTTTTTTTTTGTTTTTGTAATTAATTTTTAAGGTAGCCTACTTAATTATTTAGATCCTTTTTTTTATTTATTTATAATAATTTACATAAAATAATTTTATTATTTCTTTCCTATTTTTATTTATTTTTTTTTTGTTTTTTTTTTTATTAATTATATAATTATTTAACTGTGTTTATTGTTTTTGTTTTTTTTTTTCTTCAGGTTTCTTATGTATTCTCCAATTATATAGTATTACCATATTTTAAAAATATAGGTTTCATTTGCTGGTGTAATTAAAAATTATGTGTTGCAATACATATAATATGGTAAAATAATGGTCATTTTTAATTAACTGATAATAATGGTTGGAAGGGGAGCGACAGGGACATATATAGATTAATAAGATATATATGTAAATATATATATGTATACCAAACTTCAGATATGAAATTTGTCACTAGAATAGAGAAACACATCAGAGGTGTGACGTGCTGGTAATTAAAAATTAGGAAAGTATAATAATATTTCCAATTAAATTAAAACTTAACAATCTAGTAGGATTTCGTTAGCCACTTCTAATATATGTACATAATATATGTATACATATGTATAAAGGTTTTTGATTTATTGCAAAAATAAAATGATATATTGCACTTAACGAGGAGGGGATATCGTCGTTATAGTTATTTAATCTTTTTTATTTGGTAAATTCAAAATTTAAAATTTATATGTCATTCATTTTTGCGAATATTGAGCGATAATAGAACTCGATTAGGAATACTGAACCCATATATGGAAATTAAACTGTATATGGCTATAACTGAACTAAATTGCTGTAAATATGGACAATTTAAAATTAAAGAGAATGATTGAATTCGACGTTAAAAAGTAATTGAAGAGGAACGTTAAGATTATTAATTTGTATATAACGTATGTATATGTTAATAATGGAGAGAGACAGAGAGAGGACGAGTGGTAGTGGCTTAATGAAAATTGGGGTGAAGGGTTGCCTATACGCTATAATTTTTATATATAAAATAATGTTTTGCAACACTTAAATTTAAAAACAAAATGAACCGATTGTTTTTTTGTTTTTTAAAGTAAGTAGTAGTTTTTTCTATTTTTTTTTTTTTATTTTTAACTCTTATTACCTATATGTGTTTTTTTTTGTTTATTTTTCTTGAATTGAAATTTCTTTTTTGTCTTTCTTTTATTTTTTTAAACATAAAACATTCAAACAATTTTTTGTTTTTTTTTTTTGTTTTTTTTTTCTATTTTATTAATATCGCTATTACATTATGTACTCGTTATTTGAATTATAACACGTTTTTTTTTTCTTTGCTTTTTCTTTTTTAAGTGTAGGCATATTTTATATGTACATTTTTATATAATAAATAAATATTATGATATATATGTATATATTATATAGATATGTGTGATTTATATATGAATATATGTATACATACATGTATATTTGATTAATATACATATATACTTGAAACGCCATTTTTTTTTTACTTTTTTAATTATTTTCTATTTCATTATTATTATTATACATAGCTAATAGTTATTTTTTATATAAAATATTTTGTTTCTTTTCTTTTACAATTTTTTAAATTATTTTTCAAAATATTTTATATAAATATATATACATATATATATATATATACATATATATATATATACATATATATATATATACATATATATGTATGTATAATATGGGGTATGTCTTTTCGCATATATATATGTATATTGCATGTATCCATATTGTTAT